AGGGGCGCCGCCAGAGCGGCGGTACTGAGAAAGGAGCTACGCAAGCGCAAGGAGGGAAACGCCAAGCTCGAGCGGACCATTAGTCGTCTTCGCGAGCAGGTTGCGGCAGCGAGTGCATCCACTCCGATCAGTCAAGAGTCTCGTTCTGCTGCTTGGATCGACAGCACCGCAACGGCTGTGTGCGAAGCGTCGAGCGCTGTGATGGACTCGCCGCTCGCTGCGGTCGAGGCTTGGTCGCTCGACGAGATGCTCGAGGCCCCCGAGGTGAGCATCTCTGCTCTCCTCGCCAAGGCGCTGCGCTCGCCGTTGCAAGAAGCGGCGAAAGCGAGTGGCGCGGTGGTCGTTGGCGGCCGCCGCTCTGTTTGTGTGGCCGAGGCGCCGGAAGGCTTGCTTGAGAAGGCCTTCGCGGAGCAGCTGGGCGAGGACGCACAGTGCGAGGAGCGACTCGCGGCACTCTTGGGCACCCGCGACTTCAGCGAGACGCTGGCTCACGCGCTCGCTCCCGCGCTGCGAGCGCTGCACGAGAGCTCGCCCGCGGCGCTGAGCCGGGCGTCGGTGGCGAGGGTCCAGTCCGCACCTCCGCTCTCTGGCAAGTTCATCGCCACCGCCGAGGAGGCGCAGCCGACGCTGCGTGCGCGGCTCGACGTCGCCGGCGAGCTGGGCTCCCTCTCCCTCACCTCGCTCAAGGAGCGGCTGTGCGCGCTGCTCGAGCTCGAGCCGGCGCTGGTGAACGTCACCGCCGGCGAGGGCGAGGCTGAGGGCACGAGCGACGGGGAGGGTGAGGGCGACGGCCCATCGGCGGAGCTCTGCATCGAGGTGACCTGCGTCTCGCCGGACACGCTGCTGCTCTCTGCTTCGGCGACGCGGCTCCACGCGCTGCCGCCCGGGCTGAGCTCGGAGCTCGGAGTGACGCTCGTGCGCTCTGCCGAGGCGAGCGTGGACCTGGTCGTGCCCGCGCTGCGCTTCGGCGAGGTGTCGGCGCTCTTCGGAGGGCTCGCCGCCATCATCGGCAAGCGGCCGGAGGTGCCGCTTCTCCAGGCGATGAAGCAGGAGCACCACGGAGCAGCGGACTCCCGCGAGCCCTTCACCACGGGCAACTACAGCATCTCGACAACGTCCGCGATCGAGCACACCTTTGTCGTCGCGCCACAGGAAGGGCCGAGGCTGATGGAGTCGGCACGGCCCCTCCTGCTCGGCGAGGCCGCACCGCCGGGAGCGGGGCCCGACGAGCAGGACTCGTGGTGGCCTCACGAGCCCGCGCTGCGCGACGACCCGACGCGCCGCTCCCACTGCCGCGTGCCGCGCCCGATGGAGGAGTTTGCAGAGGCGCGGGCGGAGGTGGACACGCACCTGGCGGCGGTGGGCGTGCCTCCGATCCGGGACGACGAGTTCATCGCCCTCCGCCTCTACACCGGCCCCATGTTCGAGAAGTACTGCGCCGTGCTGCGCGGCGTGCCGCCCGGCTCCGCCTTCCTGACGGGCAAGTTCCAAAAGCTCTGCCTGGGCAACACCTACCCGGCGACCATCTACGCGCTGGGCGACGCGCTCTCCAAGCTGAGCAAGATCTCGCGCGCGGAGAAGGTGTACCGCGGCGTGGCGGGGCTGCGCCTGCCGGACGAGTTCCTCACCCGCGACGAGTTCGGCGTCCGCGGAGGCGTCGAGTTCGGCTTCCTGTCGGCGACGACGGACCGCAGCGTCGCGCTGGCGTACGCGGCGAGCGGCTCGTCGACGGGCGTGGTGTACGAGATCCAGCAGACGATGGGGAGCCGCGGCGCCGACATCTCGTGGTGCAGCCAGTACCCGTTCGAGAAGGAGGTGTGCTTCGCGCCGCTGCTCGGGCTCGAGGTGCAGGAGGGGGCGGGCGGCGCGCCGGCCAAGCGGATCGAGGGCGGCGTGGTGGTCGTCGAGCTGCTGGCGAGCGTGTCGCACGGCAGTACGGAGGAGGAAATGTCGCCTGATGCAGTGACGCGTGCGCGCCCTTCCTTTCTCGCAAAGCACTTGCTTCCCTGCATCCGCCGCGTGTTCCCGATGAAGTCGCTGGCAGCGGCCGAGGCTGCTGCTAGCAATGCGGAGCAGGATGCGGCGGCGTCCATGAAGCGTGTCGAAGATGAAGAAGCGCGAGCACAGGCGAGGGCACAGCACCTGAAGGTGCAGCTGCTTGCGCAAGACAACGAGTCGGTGGAGCACCACGCGACCATCCAAGGTCTGAGGCTCGACTTGGCTCACGCGCTGGCACACAATGCCAAGCTGACGGAGGAGGACCTCGCCAGAGCGGAGGCGTGGCTAAGCTCCAAGGCTCTGGCCGCCTGCGAGGCATCAGGTGATGCGACGAGCCCGTCAGAGGTGCCCGACGAGGCGGAGAGCTGGTGCATCGAGCAGCTGATCGACGGCCGCGAGGTCAACATCAAAGGCATCCTCAGCCACATGCTGCGACGTCGGCTGCAGCGGGCAGCAAAAGGGTGCGACGCCGTGTGGAGCAGCTCGCTTGAGAAGGCCTTCGCGATGCACCTGGGCGAGCATGCACAGTGCGAGGAGCGACTCGCCGCCTACCTGCACGAAGAAGGACTCGGCCAGGTGATGGCTCACGCGCTCGCTCCCGCGCTGCGAGCGCTGCACGAGAGCTCGCCCGCGGCGCTGAGCCGGGCGTCGGTGGCGAGGGTCGAGTCCGCACCTCCGCTCTCTGGCAAGTTCATCGCCACCGCCGAGGAGGCGCAGCCGACGCTGCGTGCGCGGCTCGACGTCGCCGGCGAGCTGGGCTCCCTCTCCCTCACCTCGCTCAAGGAGCGGCTGTGCGCGCTGCTCGAGCTCGAGCCGGCGCTGGTGAACGTCACCGCCGGCGAGGGCGAGGCTGAGGGCACGAGCGACGGGGAGGGTGAGGGCGACGGCCCATCGGCGGAGCTCTGCATCGAGGTGACCTGCGTCTCGCCGGACACGCTGCTGCTCTCTGCTTCGGCGACGCGGCTCCACGCGCTGCCGCCCGGGCCGAGCTCGGAGCTCGGAGTGACGCTCGTGCGCTCTGCCGAGGCGAGCGTGGACCTGGTCGTGCCCGCGCTGCGCTTCGGCGAGGTGTCGGCGCTCTTCGGAGGGCTCGCCGCCATCATCGGCAAGCGGCCGGAGGTGCCGCTTCTCCAGGCGATGAAGCAGGAGCACCACGGAGCAGCGGACTCCCGCGAGCCCTTCACCACGGGCAACTACAGCATCTCGACGACGTGGGGACGGATGTGGAGATCACTACCTCCTCCTCGGGCGGCCGCTCCAAGCACATCCTCACTCAAGTTGACGGGTCGGCGGCGCCGCTGGCCGCGCGAAGCTGTCGCGCAGGGGTCGGCGCGGGCGCTGTGGGCGAGCCTGCAGCAGCAGCAAGCGTGTGTGGTGCCAGGCGCTCGAAGCGTAGAGTAGCGCCTTAGTCATGCTCGCTGCTTCCGCCCCCTCCCCGCCCTCCCTGGTCAGCGCCGTTCGTGGAGGGCTAGGCGCTCCGGCCTCCGCCCGGGGCTCTCGCCTCTGTCTGCCGAGAGGGGGCTACCCTCTGACATGAGGTCAACGCCCTCTGTGCCGCGCCAAGACAGACCCTCGGCCGGGGACCCTCTGAGGCCAAAATCAGCCAAGAGAGGCCACAGAGGCGGCACAGAGTCAGAGTCAAACCCTCTGTGCCGCCAAGGGTCCCCTCCTCAGAGGGGGGTCTGAGGCCTCAGAGCGTGTACAACCCCCTAGTCGGCCGCCTCTGTCGCCCCCACCCTCCACGCATGCGGTGACGCTGAACCTCGTCGTCGCGTCCTGGTCCACCAGCCTGCAGCGCCGCTTCACTCGGCAATTTGCCACCGCCGCCGGCGTAAAGGAGGCGCGGGTCCGCGTCGCCGTGGACCCGCCCTCAACCCGCAGGGTCCGGCGGCTTTCGGAGAGCGGATCGGGCTTTCGGAGAGCGGATCGGGCGGTCCGAGGCGCGTCGTCGCCACAGTGCTGGCCGGGAGCGGCGCGGAGGCGGCGAGCGTCGCGCGGAGGCTCGAGCCGCACACGAGGAGCGTGGATGCTGCGACGGCCGTTGGCGTGCGGGTAGTCTGGGTGTCTCGGCGCTCAACGTCGCCGACTCCGTCCCCGGCCCTGCGGATGGCGTTGGGCCGGGCGATCTCGAGCCGGCCGATGACGACGACGATGACGACAACAATGATTTACCGCTCATCTTGGGGCTGAGCCTCGGCGTTGGCATCCCGCTCGCCTGCTGTCTGCTGCTGGGCATGTGGTACATGCGTCGCCGTGCGGCCGACGTGAAAAGAATTTTTCTTTAGCTCGCTAGATCGACAAAAAATGAAACGTGGTTTAGAGATTTGTTTGTATTGCTAAAAAAATCTCCGTCGGTCTCCCAGATCGCAGATGTCTCCCACACAGTGTTGTGCGAGCGAGGATATTCCTTTCTCTGGTAGGACGGGCACGAGATGATAGTAGGGAGTAGAAGAAAGCAAAGAAGAGCCCTGCGCACGCACGACTCCGCAGGAGAAGCCCCATTTATTAATAATTAGCTCGGCGCGGGATTGCGTCTGTGAGCTGTGTTACTTTGGACGACACTGGGCACAGGAAGACTGGCGCGCACTGGCAGAAAGAAAGAAAACAGAAAGAACCAGGGAGGGATGGGAGGACCTCACGTTTGGAGCGCCTTCAGAGGGCGGCTTCTGAGACGCGTCCCGCCCGTTATGTCGAGAGACGGGAGTGGCATGTTCTGTACCCGAAAGCGTCTGAGTGTATCTCTTGTTCGCGACTTCCACGAGACGTACTACGAAGAGTTACGAAATATTGTATACAATATACAAACAGGGTGTGTGGACTATTCGGAGCCCTCGACTTGTACGCTCCCTAGAGCCGACGCCAAGGGTTGTAAGCACCTCAGTATACAGAGCGGCGCGCGCAATCCCCTCTCGCGCTCCCTCAATCTACGGCAATCCAGGCGATTGCATTGCAGCGTAAGCCTCCAATTGAGAGAAACGGCGCGTGCCAAGCCCTTCGATGCATCAGACAAGCAAGTCGCGCAGCTGCTGTCCTTCCTCCTGGACAGCTGCGTTCTCTGGGTGCGCCTGCAGCGCCGCTGTCGCCGCCTCGGGCGCGCGTGCAGTCACAGCACGCTGCCTCCGCGCCCGCGCCGAGGCGTCGGTGCCGAAGCACACCATGCGCAGCGCCCAGCAACCCATTTCCTGCACTTCCTCCACTTCCGGGAGAGCCTGCAGCGCCGCCACTACTGCCTCAATCGCACCCGCGTCGGCTGCGCGCTGCTTGCGTGCGAGCCCTACGGCGTCGTCGCCGTAGCACACGTTGCCCAGCGCCATGCAGCCATGCTGTTGCACGCCCGCCACCTGTGGGTGAGCCTGCAGCGCTGCCACGACCGCCTCGATCGCGCCCGCGTCTGCTGCGCGCTGGCTGCGTGCGCGCCCCGCGGCGTCGGTGCCGGAGCACACGTTGACCAGCGCCGCACAGATATGCTGTTGCACCCCCTCCACCTGCGGGTGAGCCTGCAGCGCCGCCACCACCGCCTCGATCGCGCCCGCGTCGGCTGCGCGCTGTATGCGTGCCGGCCCTGCGGCGTCGTCGCCGGAGCACACGTTGCCCAGCGCCGCGCAGCCACGCTGTTGCAAGCCCGCCACCTGTGGGTGAGCCTGCAGCGCTGCCAGGACCGCCTCGATCGCGCCCGCGGCTACTGCGCGCTGCTTGCGTGCGCGCCCTGCGGCGTCGTCGCCGGAGCACACGTTGGTCAGCGCCGCGCAGCCACGCTGTTGCACGCCCGCCACCTGTGGGTGAGCCTGCAGCGCTGCCACGACCGCCTCGATCGCGCCCGCGTCTGCTGCGCGCTGCTTGCGTGCGCGCCCTGCGGCGTCGTTGACGAAGCACACGTTGGTCAGCGCCGCGCAGCCTTCCGCCTGCACCTCCGCCTCCTGCGGGTGAGCCTGCAGCGCCGCCACGATTGCCTCGATCGCGCCCGCGTCCGCCGCAACTTGCTCGTTCTGATCCTCCATGCACAGTTCCTCCAAGCGCTTGCATGCCGCAGCAGCGACGCGGCTGTCCGACACGTGCACGCGCAGCGCCGCCGTCGCCGCCGCCACGTCCATCGCCCGCACCGCCGCATTGCTCGGCGGCGCGTCATGCGGCGCGGCGCCAACGCGCTGCCGCACCCGCCGCCCTCCCTCCTCGCCAGCCTCGCCAGCCTCGAGCGCCGCCACGCGCGACCGCAGCCGCTCATTCTCCGCCCGCAGCTGTGAGTTCTCGGCCCGCATCTCCGCCACCAGCGGCGCCATCATGCGCTGGCACACGGCGAAGGGGCACGTCGCCTCGTGCGCCGCCTTGTCTGCCAGCAGCCCTGACCACGCGCAACCAGCCTCCGCCGCGGCACACGCTCGCGGCCGCTGCGGGCAGTCTTGCTCGTGTGCGGCGACTTCGCCGCGCGTCGTCGCCAGCCCGCAGTGCGAACATGCCGCCGGCAGCGCCGCGATCCGCTCCTCGTGGCTTCGGCATCGAATCGCCTGGTTCAGTGGTCCGAGAGCCATGCGGCACTCGGGGCAGCGGCGCGGGGCGCGCAGGTTGGAGTCGCAGGAGGCGCAGTAGACGTGGCCCTCCCGGCACTGGTGCTGCGGCCCGTCCTGCACCTCCAGGCAGATGGGGCACTCCATCGTTGTAAAAACCAGTCGATTGGAAGACTTCGCGCCAAACACCGTGACAAAATAAAATAACGCACGGGCCCTCAGCGGAGCTGGGAAGAGGACCGCCGCAAGCGGCGTGGCGTGGAGCGGTTGTGCATCCCTCCGGGGGCCCCTCTGCGCCGGGGAGGCGTTGTTGGAGGCTAGGACGCAAGCGTCCGTCGCCCTTTTCAAACTCGGGGCCCACTCCGCTACGCTCCGTGTACTCCCGTCACTTCCAGCTCACCCCATTTGTCAAATAGGATTCGAATCTCGAACTTCTATTTACTCCTTGAGGTTCCCTCAGGCCCGCCGCCGCGCTCGCTGGACAGCGGCCGTGACTCACCTGCTTCGGGCGCGCTGCTCCTCGGGGATGGCGAGAAGCGGCAGAGGTGATGCTCATAGATGAGCTAGCCCCAGATGCCCCGTTTGCCCCACTGCGGCGCCGCGCTCGTGCCGGCGTGCGAGTGGGTACAATGCGCCCCCTCGGCCGCTCGCGGCCCGGAACGCATCGGGAGATATTCATTCGTATACGCCAAGACGTGCTCTGGCTGCTGCTGCACCTGCGCCGGGGCGCGTGTAAACCCTTGCCACCGCGGGTGCGGCCGCGGCCGCAGTGGTGTAGGCGGACAGTAATGATGCCGCGCGGGCGGAGTGGCGGACACGAGGACGCTGCCGTCGGACGAGGGGTTGCTATCATACGCAAGCACGAGCCGTCGGTGACGCGACGGCGTCATCACCGTTGGCCAGCATAGAAGCGCGAAAACCTGCCCGTGTGTCGGATGCGTCCCCAAACTTGTAGCGCTACATCTTTGGACACACACCGGCGGGCGCTTTCGAGGCGACCGGCAGCATTTTTTCTAGCCACATGGACCTTTTTGCGGCACGATAGCTGGGCTGCAACATACGTGTACCTACACTCGACTACATCTACGACTGCAACGGCGCGCAGCGCCGAAGAAAATTTTGGGGCTTCTCGAGCGGCGGCCGGTGTGGACGCCGTTGTTTCGCAGCTCGGTCGGGGGGGGGCGCCCCTGCGTTTCCCTGTAGCCGGTTGAATATCATATATACAAAAAAAAATCATTAAGTCGGCGGACTTGTACCTGGAAACGCCCCCGACCTTTTGTGTGGCCGTTGCTCGCCTAGCATGGGAGGCCTCCGCCCCGGCTTCGTCGCCGGCGGCGCCAAGGACGAGAAGGTCAACTCGACGCTTTACGCGCGCATCTCACAGGAGACGTTCGACGAGGCCGTCAAGGAGAACATCGAGGACCTCGACATGGCGCCCGACGAGGCGCTGGAGGACGCGGTCGAGCAGTTCACTTCGCAGGGCATCAACCTGTCCAACATCGTGCGGCGCGTGCCCGGCGCGTCCGCGGAGGACGACCCCGCAGCCGTCCGGCTCGCCCGTGCCCTTGCCGCGTGTGTCGAGGGCCTCGAGGATGAGGAGAGTGAGGAGCTCCTGTACGGCGGCGGCGTGATGCGGCTGACCTTCCTCGCCGCGCGCGGCTGCGCGGCAACCGCCCTCGGCGACGCGGCTGCGGCGCTGAAGCGCGAGGTGCAGCGAGGGCCCGCCGAGGCGACTACGCTGGCCGGCGCCACGTCGGCGGTCGACTCGCTCGTGTCTGGATCGCTGGCGCTGGTAAGCACCCCCTTCCCTCTGCCTCTGCCTCTGCCTCTCCCCCTCCCCCTCCCTCCCTCTCTCCCTCCCTCCCTCTCCCCCCCCCTCCCTCTCCCTCTCTCCCTCTCCCTCTCCCTCTCTCCCTCTCGCCCTCTCGCCCTCTCTCCTATCCTCCCTACCTCCCTACCTCTCTCTCCCTCTCCCTCTCTCTCACACGTCTCCCTCACACGTCCCCCAAGGTACATGCGGAGCCAGGAGCGGGGACGGCGGCGCTGGTCGAGGTCCTCGAGGCGCTGACTGTGCTGCTGATGGACGCGGAGAACAGGGAGCGCTTGGGCGTGCGCGGCTGCGCCGCCCTCGTCCTCGTCTCTCGCGTGCACGCCGAGAATGGCCCGCCGCTGCGGGCGTGCTTCCAGGCGCTGCTCCTCTCGGCTCCTCTCGGCTCCTCTCCTCTCGGCTCCTCTCGGCTCCTCTCGGCTCCTCTCGGCTCCTCTCGGCTCCGCTCGGCTTGTGCATATCTCCCCATATCTCCCCATATCTCCCCATATCTCCCAGGCGCTGCGCGCGGCGATGCTTGTGCATGAGCAGCACCGCCAGACGCTAGTCAAGAGCGGAGGAGTGCTCAAGCTGGCGGTGGAGGCGGTTCGGAGGCACGGCAAGCGCACGGAGTGGGCGGACCAAGGCCCGATCCTCGCGGCGTGCGGCGTCGTGCGCGCCTCCCCGCATCTCCCCGCACCTCCCCGCATCTCCCCGCACCTCCCCGCATCTCCCCGCATCTCCCCGCATCTCCCCACACCTCCCCGCATCTCCCCGCATCTCCCCGCATCTCCCCGCATCTCCCCACATCTCCCCACATCTCCCCACATCTCCCCACATCTCCCCACATCTCCCCGCATCTCCCCACATCTCCCCGCATCTCCCCACATCTCCCCGCATCTCCCCACATCTCCCCACATCTCCCCGCATCTCCCCACATCTCCCCGCATCTCCCCACATCTCCCCACATCTCCCCACATCTCCCCACATCTCCCCACATCTCCCCGCATCTCCCCACATCTCCCCACATCTCCCCGCATCTCCCCGCATCTCCCCACATCTCCCCGCACCTCCCCGCATCTCCCCGCACCTGAGCAGGTGCGCGCCTCGACGCTCGCGGACGACGCGCGCGCTCGCACCTCAAAGGGCCACGAGCACGCAAAGGCGGCCGTCGAGTTGGGCTTGCTGCCGCTGCTGCTCGAGGCGGCGCGCTCGCCGCTGGCGGCGTCGGCTGGCCCGCTCTCGGAGCTGCTCGCGACGCTGTCTCGCCTGACGGTGATCTCTCCCCATCTCTCCCCATATCTCACCTGGCGGTCCCCATCTCTCCCCATATCTCCCCATATCTCCCCCACATCTCACCATATCTCACCATACCTCCCCCATATCTCCCCATATCTCCCCATATCTCCCCCATATCTCCCCCATATCTCCCCATATCTCCCCCCGTGACCAGGTGACCGACACGATCTGCCAGCAGCTCGCAAAGATGGACGCGCTCAAGCTGGCGATCAGCGAGCTCGCGAACCACGTGACGGACGCGCAGGCGGGTCTGGTTAGCGGCTCCTCGAGCCTTCTGGTGCTGTGCTCACAAGCACGCGTGACGGGCGCGCAGGTGGCCAAGCAGGCGTGCTTCTTCCTCGCAAACATCTCCGGCAACGACAAGTGCAAGGAGTCGATCCGCGAGGGGAGCGGCCACATCGCCATCGTGCAGGCGATGCCACACTCGCGCCCCTGCTTGGGCGTAGCCCCCCTGCGAGTAGCACTTCGTCGGTGAGTCCTCGTCTCCTTGCTACCGATGCTGCTGCACTCCAGCTGGCCCCGCCCACGACTTGTCTCTGCTGGCCCCTCTGCTAGGCGAGACATGGGGAGATGTGGGGAGATATGGGGAGATGTGGGGAGATGTGGGGAGATGTGGGGAGATGTGGGGAGATGTGGGGAGACATGGCCCCCTGCTAGGCGATGCTGCTGCATGCGCACGTCGGGTCGATGCAGACCGACGGCGTCTCTGCGCTCGGCAACATGGCGCTGCGCAAGCCCGAGAACTGCGCCGCCATCGCAGAGTGCGGCGGCATTCCAGCCATTGTCAGCGCGCTGAGCCAGCACCTGGCGCTGCCCCGCATGCAGTCCAAGGCCTCGGAGCAGCCGAGATACGCCGAGATCCGCCGAGAGGAGCGCCTCAGATGAGGAGCAACACTTGGGAGCTGCAGAGCATGCCTTCGAGGCTGTGTGCGCGACACGTCCACGACACGCCCACGAAACGCCCACGACACGCCCCCGGCACGACCGAGGCACGTCACGGCACGACCCCGGGGCATGCCCCCCCCCCCCCCCCCGCAGGCGTGCCTTGCGATCCGCAACTTGGTCGGCCGCAACCCGGAGCTGGTCGAGCCGATCCTGGACGCGGGCGCCGAGGCGCTCCGACCCCCCCCCACCCTTCCCCCGCCCCCCTTCCCTGTGCATGCTCCGCCCGGAGCCTCCACCCAGCCCTCCTCCTCCTCCGCCCTCCCGCCTTGCCCACACACCCTCTGCGCTGCGGCATGTCTCGACACACCCCTCCCCTCCCCTTTCCAAATGCCATGCTTTTTTTGGCGTTGAGGCGCCCATCCGCGAGGTGATGAACGCACACGCGGACGACTACATGCACAACCTCGCTAAGGCGGCGCTGCGCGACCTGCGCTGCTCCGTCCAGCTGGGCGAGAGAGAGCCGAGAGAGAGAGAGAGAGAGCCGAGAGACAGCCGAGAGAGAGCCGAGAGATAGCCACGGTACACCAGTTGCGCGGCCTGCACTTGCTCCGTCCAAGTTGGGGCTCCTCGTCGCACGGTCGAGCGCCGTGCCGTTCCCTCTCTTTCCTGCACTCGCAGCGTTCTTGCTCCATCAGGCGTCCTCTTCACGGGCGAGGTTGGCGAGGCGCACTGCCTGGCGCAGGGCGAGGCGGGCGGCGAGAACCATTGGGACAAGTTCCTCGAGACGCCCGGCGCGCAGGCGGCCGCGCGCGCAGAGCTCGAGGCGCTCGGCGTCGAGATGGGCGGAGGGCTCTGACCGGAGATGGGAGGCGCGCCGCCGCGCTCCGGTAGACCGCTGCGCGCTGGCTCTCGCCCGTGCTCGCGCGCGCCATCGCTCTTTGCATACAAATCAAGAGAGGATGTTGGTCCCGCCTCTCTTGTGTAATTAGACATGCTGGTTGCTGTGGTTGAATTTTGGCGATAGTTGAGCGAGAGCTGGCTCAACGTGATTAGCGCTCCCAGCAGCCACAGGCGCGCACGCTAGCGAGTGCGATCAAACGCGGCGCTGTGAACGGCGCCAAAATGTGCTGTTGGTTTCGCGAAATAGTGCAGGTCGGAGAACAGCCGAGGCAAGGAGTGCTAGAGGCTCCGGACTAATGAAAGAACTCAAGCCTCTCTGTCCTGCGAGCCACGACACCCCGTCTCCAAAGAAGGCACGCCTGACGGACGCAGCACTCGACGGCGTCGAGGCGCACACGAGAGATGCTCTTGCACCTGATGAGCTCGGCAGCGGCGGCGGCGGCGGCACGTCACACGCACGCGCCAGCACCCACACCCGCGCCGCTTGGGGCTGGACGGATCGGCAAGCAGCTTCGCCACTGCCGCTTGCGTCGCATCCCTCGACGTCCTCGCCTCCTCTCGTGGCTAAGTCGGAGAGCGGCGGCGGCTCAGCGCCGAGCCCCGCTAGCCCGAAGCCGACGCCTCGTTCGCGCGAGCCGCCTGCGACCCCCCCGGGCCCTCGCGCCAATCCTCCTGCGACTACGGGAGGAGGAGGCGGGGCCGGCGCGGTGCTGGACGCACGCCGCGAGGGGGACGCTGCATTTTTGGTCGGGGCGTCCGACCCCTACCCCGATCCCGAGGTGTCGCTCTCGCTCGACATGCCGGACGACTCGTCCGTCGAGTCTGCGTTTCGTGCCCTCGGAGTCGGCACTTGGAGCAACTTTGATGGCATGCTCCGCTAAGGCACGTTCCTCGCCCGCCTAGCGCTAGCCGCCGCCGCCCCCTTCCGCCCGGGCTGCGACTGCGGCGCCCGCATCCACATGGACCATGTTCCATCCCCCGCGACCCATGGCCAGTAGCAGTCGCCGCCGCTCCACGCTCATCCCGCGCGGACCTGTAGCATGCTGATATCTCCGCATCATGCTCCGCACGATTTTCCCCTCGGATGCGGGATGGTCCCTCTTGCAGCCTGTACTGCCGCGAGAGCCCCACGTGAGAGGCCAGCACTGCCTGTTTGCGTGTTTCCGTTTTCTTTTCCCGTGCTCCTTGTGCCCCGGTGTGCGGTGCGTGCAGTGCCGCTGTCTTGACCGCTCTCTGATATGTGTGTGTGGGTGCACTGTGTCCCCCCCCACACACTCTCTGAGTCTGTGTACGCGCGCGTGCACGCCGCGCCGCCGCCAGTGTTATCTTGCATGAGCCTCGTTGCGCCCCAGTGTGGCGCCTATTCTCCCGTGCTGTTTGTTCCTAATCAATTCCCCCCACGCCCCACCCCTGCGCCCGCTCCAGCTCCAGCCGGCAGCCGCACGCCCCAGCCTCCACTCTTGACGAACGCCGCCGCCGCCGCCGCGCACACAACATACATTCATACAGTACTGGTGTCTCAGCAGCAGGAGAAGAGAGCGCCTTGCTGCCGGCATCCGCCCCTGAACCGTGCGGAGGTGCGGGGAGGTGATGTCGCGCCTCTTTTCTCGTGGCAGCAAACCTGCGAGCGATCGCGGCGTGGAGCGATCGCCGGTGTCGTACTCCGTGCGTCGGGATCCTGGGAGTCTGCCTCATCCCACTACTGTTCCCAGAAATCTGCCACTCCATCCCCGCTCGTCATCGCGTGGTTCCACTTTTCCGAAACTGACGCGCTCCTGGCCGTTTGCGGCCTCAGGTGCATTGTCGGCGGCGCGTCGATGCTCAGGCCCCCTCAGCCGCTATCATCCCATGCAACGTGCTGGCCCGCAGCTGCCTTATGGCGTGCGCACCTTCACGCGTCGCCCTCGTCGTGCGGGATGGCCGGTTCTGCCGCTCACCGGACGTGCGAGAGGGGAGCTCGCTATAGATCATCTCACGCTCCTCCACCGCGCCACGCACACCCTTGTCGCTCAGAGCGGTGTGGGAACAGCGCCCTGGACGCGTGGTACATCGCCGGACGCGCCGCGAGAACCCGTGCCAGGCAAGCTTCAGCCGCCCCACCGGCGCTCAGTCAGCCCCTCTAGCCCCACCAGTGCCGCCGCTTCAGATGGCACTCTGAGGCCTTTACGAGTCCTTCTTGGCTCCCGCCAGCAGCGCCTCGTGGCGTGGGCTGGACGGCCCTTCGAGACGGCCCGAGCTCCCTCCGACTCCGCGGTTTTGCGCGCTTTCTCTTGCTCCTCACGTTCAAGGGACAAGGCGCGCAGCAGTGGGGCAAGAACGGGAAGGCGGGGCGGGGCAGCTACCTCCACACCAAGCAGGAGGTCGCCGGTAGCTGGAGGCCGGCCCCATCGTCGTCGTCGTCGCAGTCGGCGGCGGCGCCGGCGGCGGCGTCGCAGCCACCGCCGGCGATGAAGGAGAAGACGAAGAAGAAGCCCGAGACCCAGGGAAGCGCATTCGCCGCGCTCGCCGGGTGCTTGGGCTGCCCACGTGTGGATTCCTTTTGCCCGGTTGAGGCGTGGCGAGCGCGTCGCGTGGTGATGACGCCGCACGCGGAGAAGATCTTGGTGACCCAAGGGAGGGATGGGAGGACGGCACGCCGCCACCACACAGGGATTTTAAGAAGAGGGGTGTGGTGCGCTAGCCGTCGCCCACCCGTGGGCAGAAAGAAAGAAAGAAAAGAGCCAACCCAAGGGAGGGGAGGGGAGGACGGCACGCCGCCACCACCTGTCGACACGGGATTTACCACGTGCTCTCCCTCCCCTCCCCTCCCCTCCCCTCCTGTGCTGCGCGAGACTAAATTCTTTTTTGAGAGCGCCTTCGTTGCTTTTTTAATTCTTTTTTGTGGCGCCTCTCAAGCGGTGGGTGTGCCCGGCACATGAACTCTTTGACGCTGCTGCTGCTCTGCTGGGTCGCGGCCCCCTGCGCGGCGAGCTCGCGGCTGCAGTCCGCGGTGGCCAAGATCAGGAGTGCGTTCGGATCGCGAGCGGGCGGACCGAGGTTCAACGCAAGCGCGACCGGTGGCGCCCGCCCGCGATTCAGCGCGACCGGCGCCGGCCGCTGCCCGAATAGTAAGAACAGCACCCTGCCCGGGTCGAAATCGAACGAATGGAGGATCGGCGGTGGCCGGCTGACGGGCAGCGCAGCCGCACGCACCTACTTCTTTGCGTTCGCCGCCGGCTCCGAGGACGTGCTGCTCGAGCACTTTGTCTCCCACTACTCGGCGCTGGGCATCAACTTTGCCACCAACTCGCGCCTCGTCCTCCACCTCACGGGCGCGGCCGAGGTAGCCGCGCGCGAGCAGGCGTCGGTGGCGTACTTGCGCGGCAAGTCCATCCCGTTCCGCAGCTCGCCGCGGTACACGAGCCAGATCAAGGCGCTGCTCGCCAACGGGTACCTGCGCACGCTGCCCGACGAGGCGCTCCTCATGTACCCGGACCTGGACGAGTTCTTCGCCCTCCCGTGCCGCGTCGGCGACCTCCTCGCCCGCTCGGAGCGCAAGTTCCTCCTCACCGCAAAGTTCCGCGAGCGGCTGCCGCGCCACTGGGCCTGCGACCCGTTCCCGCGGCTCCAGCCGGCCAGCGTGCGACCGATCCACGCGCAGTACCCTGTCGCGTGCCCCATCATCGCCAGCGGCGCCAGGCACCCTTGTGGTGGTGTAGTAGTAGCAGTAGTAGGAGGAGTAGTAGTGGTAGTGGTAGTGGTAGTAGTAGTAGTGGTGGCAGTAGCAGGCACATCTTAATTCGCAAGGGGACCTGACCCATCTCCACACCCCGCGCGCGACCAGGCGCGGCGTCTTCGGCACCGCGCTCAGCCTGGGCGCGGCCTGGCTAGACACCTGAAAGAGGAGAGCTGCTCTCCTCGTGGCTTCTCCCCCCCTCCCGGGGGTAGGTGGGGGCCAGCAGCCCACGCGACACACAGAAGAGAGGTGGGGCTGGAGTGGCTCTCTCTCTGTGCCGGAGACCAGATCTTGGGCACGTCCTTGCCACCCCCCTGGCACCCCCCCGCCACCCCCTGCCACCCCCCCTGCCACCCCCCCTGCCACCCCCCTGCCACCCCCCTTGGCACACACACAGGCTACCAGAAGAACCTGCTCTTCTCGGTGAGAGACCAGCGAGGGAGGCGCGTGTGCAGTGCCACTAGAGAGCTAGTCATGCAGACAGCCTGGTTAGCATGAACTAGTCATGACCTTGCTCATTGAGAGCAGGCGCGTGCAGTACCAGAGCTCGCACAGCTGCACGTGCATCGACGACGCCGCGCCGGACGAGAAGCACGAGTGCGAGCTCCAGGCGAGAGACTGGCCCGAGATACGCCGAGATACGCCGAGATACGCCGAGATACGCCGAGAGTGGCCGAGAGTGGCCGAGAGTCGGCCGAGATGAGCCTCGAGATGGCCCGAGATGTGACCCAGGGGGCCCGAGAGGGCCCGAGATGGCCCGAGATGGCGGGAGATTGCCCGAGACTGCCCGAGGTCCCCCTCCTCTCGCGGAGTCGGAGTTGCAGAGTACGAGTTCAGCAGCAGCAAGTACCCGGCAGCTGCTACTGCTCCGCAGCACGCGGCGCCGCTAGTGAGTTGGAGTACTATAGTTAGCTCCTCACTCCCCTCCGCTGCACTTCTTCTCCGCAGGAGTACAGGGTGCCGGACATCGCCCACTTCCGCTTCACGCACGAGGCGCCGCGCACGAAGGACTAGATGGTCGCAACTCCTAGCGCACCTCTCACGCAAGTGATCTGCTACTGCTGCTGCTGCTGCTGCTGCTGCTGCTGCTGCTGCTGCTGCTGCTGCTACTGCTGCTGCTACTGCTGCTGCTGCTGCTGCTGCTGCTACTGCTACTGCTGCTGCTGCCACTAGGCGATCGAGCTGCTCTGGAAGAAGCTCAGCGGGTACAGTGTGACCTACATCCGCGACCACAAGCGGCACCGTCTCGACGCGATCGAGCACGCTGGCCTCGCTGCTGCCCACCAGCGAGCTGTGAGTGGCTCCGGGGGGCAGCAGCCCTCCGGGGACGAGCAGCTGGAGAAGGCGCGCGAGCTGCAGCGGTGGCGGTAGGCAGTGTTGTGTGGTCCTCCTCACTGTGTCCTTCCAAGATCGCACCCCCCTCTCCACGCCCCCCACGACACACTAGCGACAGGGGACGCGGGGGCGATGAAGTCAGCGCGGGGGCTGTGGGAGGACGTGCAGTGAAGCAGAGTGCGCCCGCGGGGCGGCGCGAGGAGCTGGCGGGGCGAGGAGCTGGCGGCCCGGGAGATGAGCCGAGATCTGCCGAGATTAGGCGGGCAACCACCACCACCACCACCACCACCACCGAGCCAAGGAGAAGGACGACGCGCGCGCCGCGCGGCCAGAGGGTGCCGCTGGCTCCTCGCTGCTCAACCGCTTCGCAAGCGGCGGCAAGGGCAAGATGAAGATCGCGATGCGGGACTACTACACCGAGGTGACACCTCCTTCCTTGACACACACCTCTCCTAGAGACACACCTCCTCCAGACACGTCCCCGACACTTCCGCCCGAGATGGACCGAGATGAGCCAAGATGAGCCCGAGATGAGCCGCGAGATTGGCCCGAGATGAGCCCGAGATGAGCCCGAGATGGCCGCGCGTCAGGCGTCCATCTTCGCGTGGGCGGACAGCGGCGAGCCGATCACCGGCAACCCGCAGCCCAAGCGCTCGAACGCGAGCTTCGACAAGAATCGCGAGCTAGATCCGAGATTCTACAAGCTCTGTGAACAGCGTCTCTTCACACCTACTGCTGTGAATAGGCGAGCTAGATCCGAGCATCTACAAGCTCGCGCTCGACATCGCACAAGGGAAGACGCGGAGCTGGAACGCTACCAGCGCAGTGCGGCCCGCCGACCTAGAAGCGGAGAGATATGGGGGAGATATGGGGGAGATATGGGGGAGATGCGTGCTGCGGCCCGCCGACCTAGAAGCGGACTACGCATTCCTGTCTCCCGAACCACAGTCACGGCACACGTTATGCCGTGCTCCCGCCCCGAGTTGTTGGTGCATTCAACACGTAGAACCGTTGTAGGCTCACCGCGTCCGCAGCCCGCCGGATCGAAGCCCTCTGCCCGCTCCGGCGGGCGCCTGACACGCATGATGGCGGATGCCAGCGAGCAGGAAGCGCGCGCGTGTGAACTTCTCTCTTCTTCCTTGACTGCGACCGCAGACGCCAGACGCGCGCACCGTTTCTTGAGCTCGGGCGCATTGCCATTCTCTCACTGTGTGCCGCGTTGTCATGCCGTTTGTGCGGCTATCTGGGAGCGAACGAGCTTGAGCCACACCGGTCAGAACTAACTACGTTTAAACGCTCTTGCAAGTTGCATGGAACCCATACAACGCTCATTGCTCAATTTGAGGCGCATTGTTTGAGCACGACTCTTACGTCTTAATTTGACTATTCAGTCCTCAGTCCTCAGACGACTAGTTGCAAAAAGTCTGTGGTGCAAAACCCGCCTAAAACTGCGAAAAATGCTGTCACGGCCAGCTCGGCACTATCTACTCAAAAAAAGTGACGTAGAGCACCCACTTTTTAAGCGTTCCGTGCACACACAAGGTCCGCCTGCGTGCACCGCCAGCTTCTCAGGGCCATCGCGCGAAAAACGACGGAGGAGATGCATCCTAGCTGTCGCCACCGAAGGCGACTCGACGTCGCTGAGATCGGAGATCAGGCTCTGACAGGTCACACGTCGCTCCTTTGACGCCGACGTGACTCACCCGTGCAGAGCGCATCAGGGCACGGTCTCGACGCGCTCGGTACGACGCCTGCGCCCCGTCTCGGGTCAGGTGGCACGACGCTCATCGCGCCAGCCAGCGCTGCCGTGCAGGCTGCCACGACGAGGTCGAGCACGCTTCTATACGCTCGCCCAGCCTTCCTTTCCATCCCATTAGGCTGGGAACGGTGGCGGTCAGAGGCAAAGCCTACGAGGGGTGGTGGAACCACATGTCACGGCCACCGCCGGCTCGACGCGACGATAGCCTCCGAAGGCTGACTTTGCGGCACCACCATCGGACGATCGTGCAGGACGACGCTCACGACGCCCGGTGCGCAGCGTGCGCGGCAGCAGCGCCGCCGGCGGCCCCACGCCGCATCAGGCGCCCTGAGTGAGTCAGGCTGCGCTGCACAGCCTGCTGAGCACGCTCCCAACGAGCGGCGCGCCAAGCTGGCCCGCCGCAGGCGACGCGGGCGGCGAGCCGATGCGCGCGTCGTAGGCGTAGTCAGCGCTGGCGAAGCGAGGCGGCCGGCGCCGGCCCCCGGAGGCGGTTGCAGCGAGAGAAGCGAGGCAAAAGACACTGTTGAAAGGGTGGGGAGCAGCCTGCCGTCAAGCAGCGCGCCGCGCAAGCCCGCTGCCGGCGACCCGATCGAGAGCTCGTAGTCATGGTACTATTCAGCGCGCCATCGCACCCGAGGCGGCCCGCCCTGGCCCTGTAGACCTTCCCAGAGAGCTTGGCGAGGCTGTACAGAATGCCAAGAGCATACTGGGCAGGCTCCCGTCGAGCGACGAGCCATGCTGGCTCGTCGCGGGCCGCGAGCTCGAAGACCCGCTCGGAGCTTCGCCCAGCCCGGCGAGCCCGCCCGCACGCCCGCGGCCGCAGACAGACATGGAAGACGAGCTTCCTGGCGTCTCTAGCCAGCGCTCACATGCCAAAAGACACCTCGCAGCGCGCGAGTCGTCACCGGAGCGGTACGCCTCGGCGCCGCGAGAGCAGCCGGTCGGCGTGGACACCAAGCGCGCGGCCGCCGGCCGGGCGCCTTCGCACCGACGGGGGCGCCGCGGCAGCAGAGAGCCCTCCACCCACCATACCGTTTTTATGGCGGGTGTCATAGTCCTCTCGTCTCTCTTGCTGCCGGTTTCCTCCCTCGTCTGAGTGCGCGGGTGCGTGCGGAAGGCCGGCGTCTCGTGCGTCAGCTTGAGGATCCCGCGCGGGCCTGTTCACAGGCAGCACGTGTGAAGAGGCAGGGTTTCGCGTCTCGCGAGTCGGCTCGAGGAGGCTGCGCGGTGGTGGTGATATGAGGCTGCGCGGTGGCGATGGCGGTGGCGGTGGCGGGGATGGCGGCGGCGGGGATGGCGGCGGCGGCGGCGGGGATGGCGGCGGGGATGGCGGTGGCGGCGAGGGTGGCGGGAGAGATGGCGGCGGAGGGGAGGGCGGCGGTGGAAACGGCGGTGGCGGAGACGGTGGCGCGGGCGACCACCCTTTGTGCAATCGCGCTTGTTACGCCTGATCGCATCATCGATTCATATCTTACGTCCGTCCCGCCGCCCGCCGCGCGGCCAGACTCCACATCACATAATTGTAAACGAACATTGATGGGAAGGCGAAACACAGTCCGACCAACGACTGGGACACCAACGCGGTATGGGTGGACGCTAGACGGGCGATGACGGTCACACAGGAGCGACACACAGAACCACAAGACAAGACACTCAGCCAAACTGACTGCCACACATCCTGAGCTAACTTCCCTAGTCACCCGCGGCCGGACTCCATCCGGCACGCGTCGCTGGGCGCTCCGAAGGCTCAGCAAAAAGAAAAAAGACGGTACCTCCGTGCTTCATCGGCACCGCCTCTCCCATTCGCTGTGCGCATCCGCCTCGCCACCTGCTCCACCACACGCACACCTGCTGCAGCGCACGGCCCCCACGCACGCGCTCTCCTCGACTGCGTCGTGGCCTGTCGCGCCACTCCGCCGCATCGCAAGCGCACGCCATCGCCGCCGCTTCAAGCAGGACACCACACTTTTGCGGCAGCGCAAGCACTGCGCTTCGCCGCCACCTCTACGCCGCTCCAGCACGCATCTGCCACTGCGGTCCGCCGCGCCTCTGTGACTCCGGCGCTCCTCGCTCCCGCGCAGAACGATGCCCGACAAGCGGCCCGGCGACGCACTCCTCAACCCGGCGGCCTTCCCCGAGCCGAAGGTGCGGCCCAACAACCCGAACTTTGGGTCGGGCCCGTGCGCCAAGCGGCCCGGCTGGACCGGCGACGCCATCTCCGACGCGGCGCTCGGCCGCTCGCACCGCTCGTCGCTCGGCAAGGCGAAGCTGGCGGAGGCGATCCGACGGGACGCACGCGCTGCTCGGCCTGTTCACAGCTGCAGTGGAAGAGGCGCTTGGTGTTCACAGGCGATCGACGAGACGCACGCGCTGCTCGGCCTCCCCAAGGACTACCTCGTCGGCATCGTCCCCGCCTCCGACACAGGCGCCGTCGAGATGGTGATGTGGTCGATGCTCGGTGAGGGCCGGTCGACATTTGCCACTGGGAGCTGTGAACAGCGTCTCTTCACACCTCCTGCTGTGAATAGGCGAGCGGCCGGTCGACATTTGCCACTGGGAGCTGTGAACAGCGTCTCTTCACACCTCCTGCTGTGAATAGGCGAGCGGCCGGTCGACATTTGCCACTGGGAGCTGTGAACAGCGTCTCTTCACACCTCCTGCTGTGAATAGGCGAGCGGCCGGTCGACATTTGCCACTGGGAGTCCTTCGGCACGACCTGGCACAGCGACGCCGTCAAGGAGGGGATGGCGGCAAGGGACGGCCGCACTCACGGAAGACGCGGTCGTGTGGGTAGGTACAGCGACGCCGTCAAGGAGCTCAAGCTCGAGAAGGTCACAAACATCAAGGCGGAGTTTGGGGTGCTGCCGGACCTTTCCAAGACCGACGCCTCGCACGACATCCTCTTCACCATGAACGGGACCACCTCGGGCGTGCGCGTTCCGAGCCTCGACTGGATCCCGGCAGACCGCACGGGCCTCACCATCTGCGACGCCACCTCCGCCATCTTCGGCTTCGACATGCTCCCGTGGGAGAAGCTCGACGTGGTGACGTACTCGTGGCAAAAGGTGCCGCTCCATCTCCATGCACCCTCCGCGCGATTCCCTTACTCCAGCCAACCAGCCGACGCGGGCCACCCGCTATGCCACTCGACTCATTCCTTCCCGCGCCTAGTTCACTGAGCCACACGCCGACGGCGCCGCCTGCTCGTGGCAAAAGGAGCTGGCTCCACTCATTCGTTAGTCAATCAACCCACCGGCCGACGGCGCCGCCTGCTCGAAAGGTGCTCGGAGGCGAGGGGGCGCACGGCATGCTCATCCTCGGGCCTCGCGCCGCCGCGCGGCTGCAGTCATGTCCAGGACGCGTCCACGACATGTCCGAGACACGCCCCCCGTAGGCCTCGCGCCGTCGCGCGGCTCGAGTCGTACAAGCCGCCGCGCCCGCTGCCCAAGATCTTCCGGCTGTGCAAGGGCGACGGCACGCTCAACGGTGGCATCTTCAAGGGCGAGACGATCAACACGCCGTCGATGATGTGCGCCGACGACTACGCGGACTCGCTGCGGTGCTGCGGTGCGCTTGACTCATTGACCGGTTCACTGGGTGAGCGTCAGGTGCGTCGAGGACTACCTGGACGCGCTCCGATGGGCAAAGTCGATCGGCGGCCTCCCCGCCCTCCTCGCCAAGTCTGCGGCGAACTTCAAGGCCCGCGATGTAGCAGAGATGCGGCAGAGATGCAGCAGAGATGCGGCCGAGATGTGGCAGAGATGCGGCAGAGATGCGGCGGAGATGCAGCCGAGATGCAACAGAGATGTGGCCGAGGCATCCCTCGCCGTCCTCGAGGGCAAAGGGCCCGGCCCGCACCTCTCCTAGTGGTGGTGGTGGTAGGTAGGTAAGCGACTCTTCTCGCACCCCTCCCGAGCACGGCCCGTGCCTCTCTTCCTCCAAGCACTCTCTTCCTCTCAAGCACCCTCTTCCTCCAAGCACTCTCTTCCTCCAAGCACTCTCCTCCTCTCAAGCACTCTCTCCCTCTCAAGCACTCTCTCCCTCTCAAGCACTCTCTTCCTCCAAGCACTCTCTTCCTCTCAAGCACCCTCTTCCTCCAAGCACTCTCTTCCTCCAAGCACTCTCTTCCTCTCAAGCACTCTCTCCCTCCAGGTCCTCGCCGACTTCGAGGCCAAGACGGGCTGGCTCGAGTTCCTCTGCGCCGTGCCGGAGCACCGCTCGAACACCTCCGTCTGCTTCAAGATGAAGGCGAGATCCCGCCGAGATCCCGCCGAGATCCCGCCGAGATACCCCACTCCCTCCCACCCCCTCCCTCTCCCTCCCTCCCTCTCCCTCTCCCTCTCCCTCCCACCCCCTCCCTCTCTGACCAAGGCGCCGAGCGGAGAGCCGATGGGCAGTGACGCCGTCGCAAAGTTCCGAAAGCTGCTCGAGCAAAAGGGCGTCTGCTTCGACATCGGCGCACCCGCGCGACGCGCCGCCGATGTGCTAGTGTTGGTTCGTGACTCAGTATGGAGCAATGCGTGCAGGCGCCTACCGCGACGCGCCGCCCGGGCTGCGCATCTGGTGCGGCGCGACGGTTGAGGCGTCGGACTTGCAGGCGCTCGGGCTGAGATGACCCGAGATGACCCGAGATCGTGATGGGGGGCATCCGACTTGCAGCGCACGGGGCGGTGGTGGAGTGTCGACACCCACCAGCACACCGTCCAGCGCCGCACTGTTGCATAACTGTTGCACAGTGTCGTCCACACCCACACCCACACAGACTGAGATGCATCTCTCGCTTGCCAGTCAGCCCACGCCACTCTCCTCCCACACCTCTCCCCCTCGCACCCCCTTTCCCCCTTCCCCCCTTCCCCCCTTCCCCCCAGCCCCTCCTCACCTCCCTCCCTCCCTTCCTTCTCTCACCCACCCGGCGCCGGCACCACCCCTGTCCCACAGGCGCTCACCGGCTGGATGGAGTGGGCCTACGCGCAGGTGGCGGCCGCATGAGGCGGCGCGAGAGGCGGCGAGGGCGGTGTGGCTCGGGGTCCGTCCACACAACGCCTTGTGTACCGGCCCGCGCCGGCGCTTGTGCAAGTACTTGTGCCGGCGCGCGTGGGCGGACTTCGGGCTTCGGAGCGGACGGACAGTAAGGTATTCGGAATATCGGGAGAGCACATGCCGAAGTGGGAGACCGGTAAGGAGACGACTGACGTGTACACATGAGAGTACGTGGCGAGTGCCGTACGACGTACCTTACACAAAGAAAAAAATGGCTGTACACGATGGCACCCCCATTTTGACGACTGGCAGTCCGGGACTGGAAAGATCACCCTTCCCTACCAAGAACCTGAACCCCCAAAATGGTGATGGTACTTGATCTCGCGCCTCGCAGCGGCGCAGGGTCCCTGAGCTGCTCCGACGCGGCCGTGCTAGCGGCTGAGCGTGGTGAGGAGGAAACGGTGCTGGCGTGGCTTGAGGGCGGCGGGCGGGCCGACGCGACGTACGAGAGAGGCGAGGCGAGCGGCTTCACGCTGCTGATCGCCGCCGCCCGCAACGGCCACGAGCGGGTGGTCGAGCTGCTGCTGCGGCGAGCGAGCGGCGGGCGAGGCGCGCCGGGCGGCGGACGCGGCGGCGCTGGAGGAGCAGAGGCGAGCCATTGCGGCGGAGGCGGAGGCGAAGCTGGCCGCTGAGCGCGCGGCAGCAGAGGAGACGCTGCGGGCGAGGGAGGCGGAGAGGCGAGCAGCAGAGGAGGCGCAGCGAGAGGAGCAGCGGGCGGCCGCGGCGGCGCGCAAAGCCGCTCAGGCAGAGGCGGCGCGGCGCGAGAAGGAGGCTGCGGACAGGAGGGCGGAGGAGGAGAAGGCGAGGCGGCGCGCAAAGGCGGCGGAGGCAACGGCGGCCAAGAAGGAGGCCAAGGCGAAGAAGAAGGAGGCCAAGAAGGCGCCGTCTGCCTGCACGCTCGAGGAGGAGCGGAGGGCGAAGGCTGCGGCAGAGCTTCGCGCGCAGGAGGAGAGGGCGGCGCAGCTGGCTGCTGAGCAGGAGTCGGCGAGGCGGGCGGAGCGGGAGGCGGCAGAGCTAGCGGGTGCGGCAGAGCGGGCGGCGCTGCGCGAGGATGCGGAGCTGGCAGAGGCGCTGCGCCGGTCAGAGGTGGATGCGGAGGAGGAGGCGTTGGCGCGTCGGGTGTCGCGGTGCGAGGAGGCGGTGAGCAGCGAGTCGACCGGCGGCGGCGGGGACTTGGTGCGGCGTGTCGAGAGGCTGGAGGCGAGCCTCGGCGCGGCGACCGAGGGCAGCCTCGAGGAGCGGGTCGGCGCCATCGAGCGCTTGATCGGGCCAGAGGCGGGAGAGGCGGCGGAGCAGCATCTGCCAGTCACCGAGCTGTTTGCAGCCGTCTCACTAGCCGACGCCGGCCTCGACACGGGGCGGCCGGCTGCCCCCGAGTCCACGATGGGGGGAGAGACCACGTGTATCGTGTGTTTCGCGAGAGTCAAGTCGCATGCTGCGGTTCCGTGCGGGCACTTGTGTGCTTGCGGGCCATGCTCTGAGCTGATGCAAGAGGGTCCTTACTGTCGCGAGCCAGTGATGATGTGGATGGTTCCGCGTCCCGGTCTAAAGATAGAGGGCCCACAGCGTCCTAATCTAAAATCTGAGGATTGAGGATTCAGCCTTCGCTTTAGTGAGGCCAAAGTGAGTTTATGGATGGGTGAGAACGATGCGCGACACGAGGAGGCACACGCACCGACTCGTCGGCGACTCTGCTGCACGCCGTTTCAGAATTTTTCTCAGCGTGAGCGAGACGTGGAAGAGTGCCACCGTCGGGTAGGACGGGTCGGCCCGGCGCATCGGAGTAGCCGTCGTGGTCGCGGCGAGCAGCGCCGGCCACTCCGGCGCCGCGTCGGCAACATGGGAGCATGTCCACCGCCACTTCGCGGTCGCAGCGCTGTTTGTCGCCCAAAACGCCGCCTATCCCTCTGGCGGGCCAAAGATCGCCTCGCATGTCGATTTTGACTCGACGGGGGCATGGAGGCATCACGTCTCCATGCCCCCGTCAAGTCGGAGCCAGTCTGCGGCGACCACAGCGCTCACCGCAGGGATAGGCGAGCTTTTCAGAGTCAAGCGATTGCGCGAAATCCCACACTGGTGGATTTTGGGGCGCTGTGGGCCCCCTACTAAAGAGTAAAGTAGAGTTTAGACAAAACAACTCTCTCTCACAGCAGACAGGCTCGACACAGGTGCGAACTGGCGCGTGCTAGCACTATCACCGGCACACCACCGGAGCCGCCTAAGCGACTCCGTTAAGAACGGCAATGCACTTAGCTCCGTGCACAATGCCGCTGTCCCCGCACGCTAGCTCGTTCACCGTCTGCCACGCCACGCGCGCCTCGTTATCGGGAAGCGTCTCCTTGGGCCACGAGCTCCGTAGTTGCGCGCGGACGCCCCCAGCGAAAGCCATGGCGTCGCGTGTCGGCGGGCCGAAGTAGCGCTCGTCCTCCTTGGCGAAGGCCTCCGCGCTGCCAGGCATCTCTCCGGCGAGGGCGTCGGCCAGCTGCACGGCGCCGTCCTCCGCAGACACGCCGCAGCAGCGCTGCCAGTGGTCGTCGAGCGCGGAGGCCTGCGCCTCGTGCTGAAGGAGGCAGGCGCGGAGGGCAGTGTTGGCGGAGGCGACGCCTTCGGCCGCGGCCTCGAAGGGACCGTCCCCATCCTCGTCGGAGGAGAACCGTCTCCCGTGAGCTGGTCCCGTTGGCGGCGGGTAGGCCGGCACCTGGGTGGTGGGCTCGGGCGGCGAGGGCGGGGTCGACGGCGGTGGCCGGAATTCGCCTGCTCTCGGTCGTGGGAGCGAGCGGCCTCCGGGTGGTTCCTTTACACCCCCATACGCACTGCCGCCTGTTTCGGAAAAACGCACCCCGCTTGGCTGAACACGCCCCACAGACAGGGACCTTCTCGGAATGCGGTAGAGGAGGGGCTCGCCACTCGCCCCGACGCGAGCGGTACCGCCGGCCGCGCCGCCATTCGCGCCGCCCGCAAAGGAAGCAGCGCAGCTGCCAGCAGCGCCGCACGCGACGCCCGCAAAGGAAGCAGCGCAGCCGCCAGCAGCGCCACACGCGACATAGCCCCCAGCGTAGCTCGCGGCAGCGCAGCAGGAATGAAGGGTGGAGTCGTCCCGGATGCTCTTAGAGAGGCTGATACCGGTACGACAAGGACAGCGACAGAATGGCGTTGCGCCACAGGAGGAGCAGTGGCGGCAGCAGAGGGCAGAGACGGCAGAGGCAGGGGCGGCGGCTGCGGAGGTGGAGGGGGCGGAGGAGGTCGAGGCAAAGGCGGAGGCACAGGTGGGCTGCTGCTCAGGCTGCTGCTCAGGCTGCTGCTCGGGCTGCTGCTCGGGCTGCTGATCGGGCTGCTGCTCGGGCTGCTGCTCGGGCTGCTGCTCGGGCTGCTGCTCGGGCTGCTGCGAGGGCTGCTGCGAGGGCTGCTGCGAGGGCTGCTGCGAGGGCTGCTGCTCGGGCTGCTGCTCGGGCTGCTGCTCGGGCTGCTGCTCGGGCTGCTGCTCGGGCTGCTGCGAGGCGAGCCTTGTGCCTGGAGGTCGGGCCGTGGCAGCAGCAGGAGGCTCGGGGACCAGGCTGTCGCGTCGCAGCGGCCGGCCGGGAGAGCTCTGTTGGGGTTGGCGCTGGTCTAGGGCACCAGAGCGTCGTCCATCAGAGCGTGGCCCACCGGCCGGCAGCGCGTGTACCGAGCTGAAGTCCGTGCGACTGGTGCCTTCGGCAGCGGCCGCGGGCGGCTGCAGCCGCTGAGGATCTCCAGGTCGGCTCCCACGGTGGCAGCCGCCAAGGGCAGCCACCATCGTGGGGACGCGCGAAACTTGTACGAGGTAAAGTAGAGATATAGAGGGGATCGCTCTTGCCTCGCGCTTCACGCTTGCGTTCGAACCGATTCGTGCGATTCGAGTATCGAGCGGACTCGTGCAGTGACCAGTGTTACGCGGTTACTTTATTGTTCGGTGCGCAGCTCACAAAGTCCTCTTTCTCGAAAGGTAAGTGAGGCAAACGAGGACCCCAATATGAACCCCTGCGATGTCGCATGTGCTCGAGCTCAGAGAACACAGAAGCGCTCACGCGGCGCGGTGTTCGAACCAAACTTCGTCCACAATCGTGACGCCCCCAAGACGGCTAGGTGCCCGCGGCCCCGCGCGGCGACCCAGCAGGCTGTCAGCTCCGAGCCAGCTCAAAAGCTGACGCGTGGCGAGAGCCGGTCGTAGCGAGTGCCACCGGGCGGCGCGTGGCTATCGGCGCCGGCGCGCACGAGCGCGGCCATCCACCCCTCTCGCTCTTGCTCGGTGAGCGCCTGCAAGACAGATGGGGCGAGAGCGCGAGGCGGTGGCGTGTGTGCGCCTGTCTGCTGTAGAGGGCCGATCCGAGATCACCCGAGACCACACTACCCGAGATGACCCGAGATGACCCGAGATGACCGAGATGACCCGAGATGGCCCGCGAGATCTCTCCGAGATCAGCGCCTGAAGGACGATGACACGCCGCCGCTCTCCCGCGCGCCGCGCCTCGCCCGCGCCGCTCGCCGCCGCGGGCAGCAGCGCGAGACGGAGGGATGGCGCGTCGCCAGCTCCCGGCTGGAGCAGCGCGTGGCGGACGTAGGCGAAGCCGCGCGGGCCCTGCTGGCAGGGCGGCGAGAAAGAGAGGGAGAGAGAGGGAGAGAGGGGGAGGGAGAGAGAGAGGGAGTTAGGGGGCGAGCGGGCTTTGGCAGGGGGTTGGGATGCGGACAGGTTGCTGGGGGTGTGCGTGTGGTGGGAGAGGGGCGTGGCGCGCGAGGGAGAGACCGCAGTATGTGCGTGACTGCGAAGCAGGACTTGTTCTATGCGTGCGCAGTGCGCGCGTCGCTCTCCTTGCGCGAGAGAGCGTCGACGTCGGAGAGATGCCACATGAGGAGGGCGCGCCTGAGTAGCCGAGATTAGCCGAGATTAGCCGAGATTAGCCGAGATTGGTCGAGATTGGCCGATATTGGTCGAGATTGGTCGAGATTGGCCGAGATTGGCCGAGCTCGAGCTTAGCCACGTGAGTGTGTGTGAGGAGAGCAATATACAGGACACTCGTAGGCCGCCTAAAACGGCGAATCTCGGCGAATCTCGGCGAATCTCGGCGAATCTCGGCGAATCTCGGCGAATCTGGCCTCTCTCCGTCGGAGCCGCGCGAGGCCGCCAGCGTGAAGAAGCGGCGCCGGAGGGCGGTGTTGGCGCCCCCCTTCTTGCGCAGCCAGCCCGTGTGCACCACCGCCGCGGCGGGGGCGGCGCGCGTCTGCGGAGGAGGAGGAGGTAGGCCTCCGCTGCCTAGGAAGTGCCTCGGAAGTGTCTAGGAAAAGGCCTCCGCTGCCGCGCGTCGCAAGTGGCGTCAAAGGCGCCGGTGCGCGGCGCAGCGGCCTCCGCCGAGGCGGCGCGCGCCGCTGCCTCGGCCTCTTCGCGGAAGCGGAGCGAGGCGGCGAAGCGCGCGTCCTTGACGGCGATCGAGGCCAGGCGGCGCCGCTTCTCCACCAGCGCCTGCGCATGCCCCGCCACACACAGTGTGACCGCGCAGTTCGAGGAGTCGCTCACACTGGTCGGTGCGTGCGGAGGAGCCGGGGGTGGCGCTTCGTCCCTCTTGATCAGCTTCTGGTGACGTTCTAACGGACTACTAGATGGGTAGTCGGAGGGGCGCCTCCTCCTCCGCGCGGTGAAGCACCAGAGCGATCTTATAGTCCGTCCCCAGCTGCTCCGCCAGCGGCTCCAGCTCCGCAGCCGAGCCAACAGCGGCGAGCTTGCGGCCCGACCGGGCGCGAGCCAGTGCGGCCGCGTTGGACTGGACGATGCGCTCGGCGTGGGAGACGAGGCGAGCCTGCGCCTCAGTCGGGGGTGAGGCCTCTGTGGCTGCCACGGCGGCGTTGGTGAGGGCACGGAGCCGCCGGCTGCTTGCGCCCACCGCCGCCACCGCCTCCGCCCAGTCTGCGGTCTCTCCCGACGAAGCGAGCGTGCTCGGCGTGCCCGGCGTGCCCGGCGCCTCGGGGTCCAAGGACGAGGTGAGCAGGCCTCGCCACAGGTCGAGGTAAGGGTCGGAGTCGGGAGGGTCGGCGTCTGTGGTGAGGTCCTCCGTCGCCAGGCACTGCTCCTCCTCGGTGGAGGAAATTTCCTCCGAGTCGGTGTCATTAGCCATGCGCGCCATCCCGCACTCGGGGTCGGGCCCATAGGACCGGGATTCAGGACTGAGGCCGAAGAGGTCACGCAGCTGCGGCGGCAAGCGCTCCGCTGCAGGGCCCTCCTTGGCATGGCAACCATCGCTGTCTGCCCCATCAGTAGGGTCGGGCGTCGCCTCTGCCCACTCACGCGCTGAATTCATCTCGCGTGCGAGCGACAAGAGCTCCGCGGTGTCCATACCTCGGCCACACCGATCACCGCGAAAGCAAAGCGGCTGGAAAGCGACCGTGTTTTCTGGATTTCTTTTTCGCGTCTTAATGCAAACAAAAATGATGTTAGAGTTGTTTCGTGGTATTGATAAAAATCTCTCTCTCCTAGTACAGACGTTCACCCCACGTGCCGCCACGAATAACCCGCCGCCCTCCGGGGCCCTAACAGAGGCGCCTCTACCGAACCCTCTCGAGTCCCGAGGAGAGAGACACAGCCAACACACAAACTCGTTCGCTCGCCAGTGGCGATCACAACATCGATACGCTGCGGATGAGCGGGCCAAAGCCGTTGGGCATGTGCTCGTAGTCGGCCTGCCCGAAGTTGGCGACGAGCGAGGCGCCGTCGGCCACGCTCACCGCGGGGAAGACCTCGCCACGGATGCCTGCTCACGGCCGCGCCGGTGTGAAGGCGCCTCGTCTTTCTGGGGTGGGGGGTGGTGTGGCGCGGGGCGGGCGCGCCGCTCATCTGGTGCACGAGGGAGGAGCCCTTGTAAAAGTAGACCTGCACCGGGTAGTCCGCCTGGTCGATCGCACAGCCGATGACGTCGCCCTCCTGAGGCGTGCCGAGGACGGACCGGTGGCAGAGGCGCCAGGCGACGGCGACTTGGCGCACGGTGCAGGGTCAGCGGATGCGGGTGCGGGTGCGACAGGTAGATGCTTCGGACGCGCCTGGAGCGGCGGCAACCCGGGCTGGGTACTCGTCACCGTCCACGCCGTCGCCGCCTTGTCGGGCGTGAGCAGGCCCTCCAGAGGGCAGTCCTTGGCCGCGACGCCAATCGCAAACGCGCCCGCCTTGCGGATCGTCACCTCAAAGTAGCCCTTGTCCTGCGGCGAGGAGAGCAACGAGAGAGAGGGCATGTGAGGCGTGAGGTCCGCTCTGGGTCGCGCGTGCGCGTCCGCCACGCCACGCGAGCGGCGTGCGCGCGAGGCGGCGGGCTTGCGCCGCGCCTGCAGGATGGCAGAGTCACCGAGCACGCTGCCGGTCCCGCTGATGGTGCGGTCCTCGAGTTTGATCTCGGTGGCGCAGAGCTGGCTGCTCAGGGCGACCGGCGGCAAAGGCGCCGGCGTGTCGTCCGCCGGTTCGCTCGACCAGCAGCAGCCCATGAGCGCGTGTCGTGAAGCGCCTCTATGTTTCTGTGAAAAGAATTCTAGCTATGCGGGAAAAGAAATCCGAAGCCACCCTCAGCTCGGCCTCACCCACACTCCTAATTAAAATCCCTGTGTGGTGGCGGAGTGCCGTTCTCCCATCCCTCCTTCGGCGGTCTTTTTTCTTTCTTTCTTTTTCACCTGGCGGTGGCGCGCCGGCCCTCTCACCGCCTCCCTCGGCGCCCCGCGCCGGCCCGCACGACGCGCTTCAACTGCGCATCCTCCGGGTTGAGTTGTTGCCCGCGAGGACCGAGGTGCTCGCCGAGGGTCGTCGGGAGAGTGACCCCTGTGCCCTGATCCGGGAGTTGCAAGAAAACTCTAAGTGCACCAGGCACGGGACGACTGGCGCGCACTGGCACTAACACCACACGCGAGACTCAGTGTCAGTCGTACTCTGCGTCCTCCTCGTCGGGGAAGTCGCCTCCGACGTCGAGCTTCTCCCCTCGCTCGTCGACAATGTCGAGGCCGCGGCCGAGCTCGAGCTCGCGCCGAAAGCGGCTCCACGCCTACGCCATTCGTTACCATTGATTAACCGCCCGAGCTCGGAGCGGAGGCTAAATCTCCACACATCTCCCAGCCCCCCTCCCCCCCTCTCCCCGCCACGCGCCTCGTCGATGCCGCCCATCCCGTCTCGCTCCATCAGCTCCCTCCAGATGTCGTCGCCTACAGGACGGCTCAGAAGGGTCCGAGAAGGGTCCTCCTGCTCCTCCGTCCGCTCCTCCTCCAATCTCGCCCATCCCGCCGACGCCGAGGACGGTCTCGTCGTTCGCGCCTAGCCTCGGCGGGTCCACCTCGGCTTTGTGCTGCCGCTTCTGAGATCTCGCGCGATCTCCCACACCCGACATCTCCCACACCCGACACCACCCCCCTGCGCCTCCGCCTCCGCTGGTTGACCAAGCAGGGCGAGCCTCCCGGGCTGCTCTCGTCCCCCGCCTTCGGCGCCCTCCTCCGAGGGCGTGGGACGCGGGCGCATGTCGGCTACACTCGGCCTGCTCTCGTGTCAGTCTCAGCCTAAGCTCGCCTCCCGTCTTTGGCGCCCTCCTCCGGAACTTGACGCGCGCGCCTGCCATCCACTCTCAGTGATCAGCGATCGGATCCAGCTCTGCGCACCGCGGGCACAAGTGCCGTCTGCGTTGACTCCCTTTGGGTAGGAGCCCAGCAGGCGCATCTCCCCGTCCCCGAGCTTGTAGACCGAGTACGTCACCTGCGCACGGGACGGGAAGGCGTGGCGACGAACCGCGCCCAGCCCGCGGCCGCAGCGGTACCGCACCGCTGCGTTGCCCTTGCGCATCTTGCTGCCGAGCGTGAGCGCCTGCTGCTTGGTCGAGAGGCGGACGGTGTGGCGGCCGAGCTCGCACATCTCGGCGCCGCCGTACAGCGACTCGTACACAAACGGCATCGGCGTGAACCACCTAGGCGCGGGAAGGCGCACACGGTGGGACAGGTCTCGGCGCCGCTGCTGACGCCAGTGAGCGCAGAGGCCGCGTTGCTGCTCACATTAGCACAAATAGCGGCGGACCGCCGATCTGAAGGTGCAGCGCTGGATTCCGCGAAGATTCTGACAGCCTCGCGGGACGAACCGAGGGCAGCGGACCCGAGTTCACCAACATTGATCCGAGTGCGAAAAAAAGAATTTAAGAAACCTCTTTCACAGCAGACAGACTCGACACAGGTGCGAACTGGCGCGTGCTAGCACTATCACCGGCACACCACCGGAGCCGCCTAAGCGACTCCGTTAAGAACGGCAATGCACTTAGCTCCGTGCACAATGCCGCTGTCCCCGCACGCTAGCTAGCTCGTTCACCGTCTGCCACGCCACGGCGGTGTGGAGAACGACAGACAAGCGCTGCATCTGCAGCCCGTGCCAGTTCTTGGTGGTCCATGTGACCTCATCGAGGTGCTGAGCCTGCGAAAGTTTGTTACTCAGCTGGTCCGCCGCCTGCGGCCTGCCGAAGAAGAGCGCGGACGCCCTTCCCGAAGCCGCCGAACGTCTCGAAGTCGAGCAAACGCAGGTCGCAATTCTTCTCCCGCGCGAAAAAAAGAATGTATGTTTTTGCAACGAAAGAGTGTTGTGGTGGGGTGTGTGTGTGTTGTGCGTTGTGTTGTTGCGTGTTGTGCGGCGGGCGGTGGGCGCAATGCGCGTGGGTGGGTGGGTGGGGGGGGGGCACTCACCCGGGGTTGCAGGGAGGGGGGGGTCTCAGGATGACCCAAAAGAAAATCCGCCTTGCGTTTGTTTCATAACATCGAAGGCTAGCTCAAAGAAAATAGCTTTGCCTCAAAAAGGGACGCACGAGGCAAATCTGATGTTGGCTTGTTCCAATAGGAGCGAGGCCTCTTCCGTTGGGGGACCGAGTGACTAGGAAACGAGGGTTCCCCATTGTGTCCCGCTCCAGCGCGAGCGTGACACTGCACTTGGCGCCGAGCGCCCGCGGCTCAGACCTTGTGCAAGCCGACCCTCGGTGGGCACGCCGGTCCGGACCGATGGCGCTCGGTGTGGAGCAAGCAAGACCCCCCCCCCCCCCTCGGCGCGCGCCCGAGGTTTTAACGGCCGCGCCCCAGGAGCACCAACGAAGAGGACTCCTCATGGCTGCTTACAAGTGGGCTTCGACCGGCCTCGGCGGGGGGGGCGGGTTGTCCCGGCTGCGGACGCCTTCTGCAGCCCCCTGGGATGGGGACAGCACCCCAAAACTGCCCCTCGGCGGCATACAGCACTGCCAGCCAGCCTCTTCCTCCTCCTCAAGGGCTGTACTATAGGCCATATTGCGCCGCCTCCTACTGGCAGCCGGGCTGGCGCGCGCCGCGGGCGCCTCGGCGCGCGCACGGCTCGCAAAGTACGAACGTGAGTACTGCCGCCCGGCCGCCTCCTCGCAAGGCGCGCACCGGCTGCTCTGGCTGCTGCGCCGGCGGCCGCTGCGCTGGCCGCTGCTGCGCCGGCTGGCGGGCGGTACGGCCGCCGGCGGCCGCTGCACCCGCGCCTTCCCTCGCGGGCGCCGTCGCGCCGCGCGCGCCCAACTCTGCTGGCACACGGCACGCGTCGTCACTCAGCCGCGGAGAACAGGCGGTGCTGTGCGTGAAGCGCGCGCGATCTCGTACTTTTAAGTCAATTTGATTCTCGACTCGCCGACACGAAAGTGCTGCGATCGCGGATCGGGGACGGGGTTCGCCCATTTCTTTTTCCCTTTCTTTTTTTGGGCCCTGTGGGCACCCTACGCTTGCAGCTTGCCATCTCTGTTTCTTTCCTCTACGCTCTACACGGCAAACCACGCAAATTGCAAGGTGGAATCTCAGCAAAACAGCCGCCTACATCAAAGCAGCATGAGGAGAGAGCCGCGCCGTCGCCATCGGCGCCACCGCCTCCCACGCGCCCACTGCCGGGTCGTACCGCTCCACCGAGCTGAGGCGACTGTGGCCGGCACCTGCACCCGACCCGCCTGCGACATAGAGCTTGCCGTCGAGCGCCGCCACGGCGTGATTATACCGGGCCGCCGCCATCGGCGCCACCGCCTCCCACGCGTTCGTCGAAGGTTCGTACCGCTCCACCGAGCTGAGGCGACTGTGGCCGGCACCTGCACCCGACCCGCCTGCGACATAGAGCTTGCCGTCGAGCGCCGCCACGGCGTGATTATACCGGGCCGCCGCCATCGGCGCCACCGCCTCCCACGCGTTCGTCGCCGGGTCGTACCGCTCCACGGAGGTGAGGAAGCCGTCGTCGTCGTAGCCGCCCGCAGCGTACAGCTTGCCGTCTAGCACCGCCACGTCGTGATGGCACCGCGCCTCTTCAATCGGCGCCACCGCCTCCCACGCATTCGTCGCGGGGTCGTACCGCTCGACCGAGCTGAGGCAGCCGTCGTCGTCGTTGTACCCGCCAACGGCATACAGCTTGCCGTCGAGCACCGCCACGGCGTGACCCTCGCGTGGTGTCACCATCGGCGCCACCTCCTCCCACGCATTCGTCGCAAAGTCGTACCGCTCCACCAAGTTGGAGGATGGAGGGAGGGCCTCGCCATCCTCATCCTCGCCATCAGCCACACCCAGGCCGCCCGCCGCGTAGAGCTTGTCGTCGAGCACCGCCGTGCAAAAATTTTCACGTGCCGTCGGCATCGGCGCCACAGCCTCCTCCTCCCACTCATTCGTTGACGGGTCGTACCGCTCCAGCGAGTTGACAAGCTCGTAGTCGCTGCCATCGCCGCCGATCACGAGCAGGCGCAGCCTCTCGCGCTTCTTCAGCGTCTCCTTCCAGCCGCGGCGCCACGCGCGGCACGTCCCCTTGACGGCGTGCTCCTTGGTCGGCAGCTGGGCGAGGATGTGCGGGGCGAGGTCCGGCGAGAGGAGGACCTCGGAGAGGATCCACTCGGGCTGCTCCACGAGCCGTGCGGCGTGCTCCTCCGCCACGCGCAGCGCGGCGGCGCTCGCGCCCGCCTGCGCCTCGATGATGGCGCACAGCTGCGCTGGCGAGAGGCCCGCGACGCGCGCGCCGATGCGGTGGGAGGCCATCGGCACAAAGGTCACACAAGAGTGCAAGCTTGGATTTCGCTTGCAAAGGGTGTGCGGTACTCTCCCGTGAGGTGTCCAGTCCTAGCCTGGCTGTTCTTTTCACCTTCGATACATACATACGTTCCTACTGTGCCGGTATTCAAAGTGCAAGGCCCAGTGCACGTGGTGAGCACACAGGCTGGGAGAAAGAAGAGGTCCCACCCCGCAGTATGCATGTGTGCAATACAGTATGCTCCAGAGCGGCGCGTCCTCTCCGCTGCAACCCCCCCCCCCCCCGCGCGCGCGCGCGGCCCCGAGCAGGGCTCGCCCGCCGCCGCCGCCTCACATCCCCCTCTGGAAGAAAGCGGCCGTCTGCGAGAAGTAGGTCTCGGTCCCCTCCTTGGAGTCGCCTACGCAAACCACGAGCGCGCGTACGGCACACACGAAGCCAGGGCGGGCCTCGAGGCCCCTCTCTGGCGTCGCCGGCGGCGGAAGGGTTGACCAGCTCGATGCCCTGCACCGGCGTGAAGGCGAGCGAGGATGCGAGCCCGTTTGTGCTGCCCGAGGAGCCGGCGAGTCGCGCCCGCCTGTCCAGCAACCAGTTCAGCATTACGCGCGGAGTCACCGACGAGCAGACTCGGGCGGAGCCGGCGCGCGCTTGTTCTTCTCGGAGAGCAGCTGCTGCTTCTGCGCGTTCACCTTGACCTTGCCCCCCTGCTGCGACTTTCCGAGCATTCCGACACCGAGCATGCCGTCGGACGTCATGTCCTCCTCCTGCCCGAACCGCACCCGGTTGGAGAGCTGCCGCATGTGCGTCATACCCATCCGCTCCTTCATCTTGCGCAGCCGCCGCCCGCCGCGCCGCTTGCCGCTAGACTCGGGCGGCACCTGCTCGCAGCTCCGCGCGACGTGTGAAGAGACGCCGTTCACACCGGACGGCCCGTGCTCCGACTCGGTGCGGCACCGCCAGCGGCCGCACGTCCTTCGGCGGCGGCGGCTCCGAAAGCTTGGCCGACCGCATCTCGATCTCGTCGCGGAACTTTTGGCCGACGGAGCCGTCGCCAGAGTTCTGGTACGCGTCCGCGCGCGCCGCCAGCGTCACCTTGCCGGCGGGCATGCGGGAGATAGAGTGTGCTGATAGGTGTGCTGCTACTTCCGAGACAGAGACTATGAATGCTGCCAAGAAGAGTGGAGGCACCTTGCCGGCGACCATGCGGACCACCTTTGGCCTCAGTCCTGGCGGCGTGTTGAGGATGATGTCGCACTGCGAGATGCAGCCAGAGTGCGTGACTTGCGTCGAGGTGGACATGCCTGCTCACGGCTGGCCGCTGTGAAGAGACGCCGCCAGAGTGCGCGCGCGACACCTCTGCGTCGACGTGCGGCATGCCCGCGAGCGCGCGCTTCTTCGAGCCAAGGATCTGCACGACCGTCGAGGGCAGCTCGGCCAGCTTGGACATGCCTAGGACGTGTCTCGGACATGTCTCGGACGTGTCTCGGCCAGCTTGGACATGTCTCAGCTTGGACATACCGCCCGCGGCGCCGACGAGCTTCGCGGCGGTGGCGGCGCCTAGGACGTGTCTCGGACGTGTCTCGGACGTGTCCAGGAAGGGGAGCTGCGTCGCGGCGGTGGCGGCGCCGACGATGGCGACGACGTTGGGCGCGACGATTGCCTGTTGAGGTGGCGGTCGGAAGAGCAATTCACACACCTCGGTTCGGTTGCACCTCGGTTGCACCTCGGCTGTCTCTCGGCTGTCTCTCGGCTGTCTCTCGCCATCTTGGACTCGACGAAGGCGAGGATGCGCTGCTTGTTGTCGGAGAGGGCGAGGACCTGCTCGCACCTGCGGGAGATGTGGGGAGATGTGGGGAGATGTGGGGAGATGTGGAGAGGGCGAGGACTTGGCTCGCACCGCTCGCTGACCGCCGCCAGCGCCTGCGGCGGCAGCTCGGTGCCGATGGTGGTGGAGGAGGTGACGGTGACGACCATGATCGTGGCGGAGGGGAGGATGCCGGTGAGGTCGACTTGGGTCAGGTCCGCCTCGTTGCCGATCTTGAGCACGACGCGCGCGAAGTCGAGCGGGTTCGGGATCAGCGACTCGAGCTCGGGGAAGCGCTTCGCGTAGTCGTCGCGGATGTGCTTCGCGAGCGCCTCGACCTACGGCCGGTGGTGTGGCGTGGCATGCGCCCCGGCGTGGAGTGTCGCGCCCTGCCCCGGTGTGGTGCGCAGCGTGCCCCCGCCCGAGGGCTGCCAGTTGCACCTCATTGTCGATGTCGACCGCTATCTCGTTGCACTGCACAATCAGCGCGTAGACGGCGCCGGCATCGTCCTGGGGCGCGGCGGGCGGCGCGACGACGCCGTCGCCCGCGTCGGCCACCATGTATGCCTCGATCTTCTCCATCAGCGACGCCATCCGGCTCGAGGCGAGCAGCCCCGACGTGCCCGCCGCGCCGCCGCCGCCGCCCGTCTCGGCGAGCATGTCGATGTCGCCATCGTCGTCGTCCTCCTCCTCGATGATCTCCTCCTGCCGCCGCGAGACAGAGCCGGTGAGTGGGCGCGAGCGTCGCAGCGCGAAAGGCGGGCGCGGCCCGCTGGCAGCGGGGAAGCGAGCGCGGCGACACGGGCGGCAGCGACGCGGGGCAAGCAGTCATGGGCGAGGGCGCGCCTCCTCGCCCTCGTCCTCCTCCTCGTTTAGGTCGTCGAGATCTGCGAGGAAGGCGTCGAGAGAGGCCATGCGGTAAGAGCGTGGCAGCGCCCCGAGCACAGCCTCAGGCAGGGGCGCAAAAGAATTTTAAAGAGCGCAGATGGAAAGGCCGTCGCGAAAAAAGAAAAAAACCGCCGCAGCAGCAGTGGCCCGGTTACAAGTGCGCACACTTAATGATTTTCGGCCGGCCGCAGGTCGGGCTGGACGCGGCTGTTTCGGCCGGCGGTCGGGGTCGGACACCAGCTTTGTCGGCGCGTCAGCGCCGAAGAAAATTTTGGGCGATTTTCTTTACTCCCGTCACTTCCAGCTCACGCTCCCGGTTTTGTCAAATAGGATTCGAATCTCGAACTTCTATTTACTCCTTGAGGTTCCCTCAGGCCCGCCGCCGCGCTCGCTGGACAGCGGCCGTGACTCACCTGCTTCGGGCGCGCTGCTCCTCGGGGATGGCGAGAAGCGGCAGAGATGATGCTCATAGATGAGCTAGCCCCAGATGCCCCGTTTGCCCCACTGCGGCGCCGTGCTCGTGCCGGCGTGCGAGTGGGTACAATGCACCCCCTCTGCCGCTCGCGGCCCGGAACGCATCGGGAGATATTCATTCGTATACGTCAAGACGTGCTCAGATGGCACGTAGTAGAGTGACTGAGCGCGTGGCCACTCTCCACCCTCGATTGCGGGTGCGGCCGCGGCCGCAATGGTGTAGGCGGACAGTAATGATGCCGCGCGGGCGGAGTGGCGGACACGAGGACGCTGCCGTCGGACGAGGGGTTGCTATCATACGCAAGCACGAGCCGTCGGTGACGCGACGGCGTCATCACCGTTGGCCAGCATAGAAGCGCGAAAAGCCGAAAACCTGCCCGTGTGTCGGATGCGTCCCCAAACTTGTGTGCGGTACATTTTTTTATTTAATGAACTCGGGGGCACAGGACGCGGTACAAACGGGGTACACCAAAAGGCACGGGCGCTACATCTTTGGACACACACCGGCGGGCGCTTTCGAGGCGACCGGGAGCATTTTTTCTAGCCACATGGACCTTTTTGCGGCACGATAGCTGGGCTGCAACAGCGTGAGTACGTGTACCTACACTCGACTACAGCTACGACTGCAACGGCGCGCAGCGCCGAAGAAAATTTTGGGGCTTCTCGAGCGGCGGCCGGTGTGGACGCCGTTGTTTCGCAGCTCGGTCGGGGGGGGGGCGCCCCTGCGTTTCCCTGCGGTCGGTCGAAAATCATTAAGTCCGCCGATAACGATTGGGGTGGGGGCCCCAACTCGTGGTAGGCCACTAGTTTATCGTAGGATACTCACGGATACCTCTCCTGAGTCCCTCTCGTGTGCCCTCGCGCACATCGCATGCGGTCTTCACTCAGCCTCCGCTGCTGTGAACACCAAACTTGCACTTCAGCTGGTGCGCGCTTTCGCCGCCTACTTTCGCGAGCGCGCTTGGCCCTCGCTCCTCATGCGCGGCGCTCTCGCTGCGCTCTCTCCCTGCTCATGGGACCTGATGCCGCGCCACCTCTGTGGCCGCTCCATCCTCTCTGACGGCGCCAGCCCTCCGGCTGCGCCATCTCTCTTTGGTTGGCACAGAATCTGTGTCTGCGCCATTCTTGCTGTCGCTGGCGATTGTTTCTGGGCAGCAGTACACGATGGGCGGCGGCCTCGTCTGCCACGCTTGTGGCGCTCTCGTGGTCGCCTCGGCTCTGCCACGACGGCCTCGTCCACCTGGCGGCCAGGGGCGGTGGCCCCACAGCCCACTCTTGGTGCTGCTGTTGCATCACGTCTCGTGGCGTGCTTCTCCTTTCTCTCTGGACCCGCCGGCGATAAGCTCTGCTGTCATGTTGCTCTGGGATATCTCTATCCAAGGCAACACTCCGGTACGTGCTCCGCCCGTGCAGCGGCGCTTGCTGCTCTTCGAGTGAGCCTCGTCTCGTTCTCTCTGTCTGCTCAAGCCTCGCCTCGTTCGCCCTCATGGGCGGCGTGGCGGGCGGGCGGCTGTCTCAATCACCGCCTCGAGTGAGCCTCGTCTCGCTCTTTGTCGCTCGAGCCTCGTCTCGTGTGCCGCCTCGTGGGCGGCGTGGCGTGGCGGGCGGCTGTCTCTGCCGCCGCCTCGAGTGAGCCTCGTCTCGCTCTTCGTCTACTCGAGCCTCGTCTCGTGTGCCGCCTCGTGGGCGGCGTGGCGGGCGGCTGTCTCTGCCGCCGCCTCGAGTGAGCCTCGTCTCGCTCTTCGTCTGCTCGAGCCTCGTCTCGTGTGCCGCCTCTTGGGCGGCGTGGCGTGGCGGGCGGCTGTCTCTGCCGCCGCCTCGAGTGAGCCTCGTCTCGCTCTTCGTCTACTCGAGCCTCGTCTCGTGTGCCGCCTCGTGGGGCGGCGTGGCGGGCGGCTGTCTCTGCCGCCGCCTCGAGTGAGCCTCGTCTCGCTCTTCGTCTCCTCGAGCCTCGTCTCGTGTGCCGCCTCTTGGGCGGCGTGGCGTGGCGGGCGGCTGTCGCTGCTGCCGCCTCGAGTGAGCCTCGTCTCGCTCTTCGTCTACTCGAGCCTCGTCTCGTGTGCCGCCTCGTGGGCGGCGTGGCGTGGCGGGCGGCTGTCGCTGCTGCCGCCTCGAGTGAGCCTCGTCTCGCTCTTCGTCTACTCGAGCCTCGCCTCGTGTGCCGCCTCTTGGGCGGCGTGGCGTGGCGGGCGGCTGTCGCTGCCGCCGCCTCGTGTGAGCCTCGTCTCGCTCTTCGTCTACTCGAGCCTCGTCTCGTGTGCCGCTTCGTGGGCGGCGTGGCGTGGCGGGCGGCTGTCTCTGCCGCCGCCTCGAGTAAGCCTCGTCTCGCTCTTCGTCTACTCGAGCCTCGTCTCGTGTGCCGCCTCGTGGGCGGCGTGGCTGGCGGCTGTCTCTGCCGCCGCCTCGTGTGAGCCTTGTCTCGCTCTTCGTCTACTCGAGCCTCGTCTCGTGTGCCGCCTCGTGGGCGGCGTGGCGTGGCGGGCGGCTGTCTCTGCCGCCGCCTCGAGTGAGCCTCGTCTCGCTCTTCGTCTACTCGAGCCTCGTCTCGTGTGCCACCTCGTGGGCGGCGTGGCGGGCGGCTGTCTCTGCCGCCGCCTCGAGTGAGCCTCGTCTCGCTCTTCGTCTACTCGAGCCTCGTCTCGTGTGCCGCCTCGTGGGCGGCGTGGCGGGCTGCTGTCTCTGCCGCCGCCTCGAGTGAGCCTCGTCTAGCTCTTCGTCTACTCGAGCCTCGTCTCGTGTGCCGCCTCGTGGGCGGCGTGGCGGGCGGGCGGCTGTCTCTGCCGCCGCCTTGAGTGAGCCTCGTCTCGCTCTTCGTCTCCTCGAGCCTCGCCTCGTGTGCCGCCTCTTGGGCGGCGTGGCGTGGTGGGCGGCTGTCTCTGCTGCCGCCTCGAGTGAGCCTCGTCTGGCTCTTCGTCTACTCGAGCCTCGCCTCGTGTGCCGCCTCGTGGGCGGCTTGGCGTGGCGGGCGGCTGTCTCTGCCGCCGCCTCGAGTGAGCCTCGTCTGGCTCTTCGTCTACTCGAGCCTCGCCTCGTATGCCGCTTGTGGGCAGCGTGGCGTGGCGGGCGGCTGTCTCTGCCGCCGCCTCGTGTGAGCCTCGTCTCGCTCTTCGTCTACTCGAGCCTCGTCTCGTGTGCCGCCTCGTGGGCGGCATGGCGTGGCGGGCGGCTGTCTCTGCCGCCGCCTCGAGTGAGCCTCGTCTCGCTCTTCGTCTACTCGAGCCTCGCCTCGTGTGCCGCCTCGTGGGCGGCGTGGCGGGCGGCTGTCTCTGCTGCCGCCTCGAGTGAGCCTCGTCTGGCTCTTCGTCTACTCGAGCCTCGCCTCGTGTGCCGCCTCGTGGGCGGCGTGGCGTGGCGGGCGGCTGTCTCTGCCCGCCTCGAGTGAGCCTCGTCTCGCTCTTCGTCTACTCGAGCCTCGTCTCGTGTGCCGCCTCGTGGGCGGCGTGGCGTGGCGGGCGGCTGTCTCTGCCGCCGCCTCGAGTGAGCCTCGTCTCGCTCTTCGTCTACTCGAGCCTCGTCTCGTGTGCCGCCTCGTGGGCGGCGTGGCGGGCGGCTGTCTCTGCCGCCGCCTCGAGTGAGCCTCGTCTCGCTCTTCGTCTACTCGAGCCTCGTCTCGTATGCCGCTTGTGGGGAGCGTGGCGTGGCGGGCGGCTGTCTCTGCCGCCGCCTCGAGTGAGCCTCGTCTCGCTCGTCGTCTACTCGAGCCTTCTCGTGTGCCGCCTCGTGGGCGGCGTGGCGGGCGGCTGTCTCTGCCGCCGCCTCGAGTGAGCCTCGTCTCGCTCTTCGTCTACTCGAGCCTCGTCTCGTGTGCCGCCTCGTGGGCGGCGTGGCGGGCGGCTGTCTCTGCCGCCGCCTCGTGTGAGCCTCGTCTCGCTCTTCGTCTACTCGAGCCTCGTCTCGTGTGCCGCCTCGTGGGCGGCGTGGCGGGCGGCTGTCTCTGCCGCCGCCTCGTGTGAGCCTCGTCTCGCTCTTCGTCTACTCGAGCCTCGTCTCGTGTGCCGCCTCGTGGGCGGCGTGGCGGGCGGCCGTCTCTGCCGCCGCCTCGTGTGAGCCTCGTCTCGCTCTTCGTCTACTCGAGCCTCGTCTCGTGTGCCGCCTCGTGGGGCGGCGTGGCGTGGCGGGCGGCTGTCTCTGCCGCCGCCACGAGTGAGCCTCGTCTCGTTCTTCATCTACTCGAGCCTCGTCTCGTGTGCCGCCTCGTGGGCGGCGTGGCGGGCGGCCGTCTCTGCCGCCGCCTCGTGTGAGCCTCGTCTCGCTCTTCGTCTACTCGAGCCTCGTCTCGTGTGCCGCCTCGTGGGCGGCGTGGCGGGCGGCCGTCTCTGCCGCCGCCTCGTGTGAGCCTCGTCTCGCTCTTCGTCTACTCGAGCCTCGTCTCGTGTGCCGTCTCGCGGGCGGCGTGGCGTGAATGTAGGCTTCACGCTGGGGTCGCTCTTCGTCACGAGCGCATCTGCCCCTCTTCTGGCTTCATTGGGATGCGAGGTCCGTCTGCACCCGCTCCCTCCACTCTGCGTTGGGATGTCAGGTACTGCGTAGCTCTTCCGTTGTGGAGGCACGCGACTCCAGACTGACCCTTTACGCGCCAATGTATCACACCTCACGGTGCAGATGCTTGGGTCATGTGGAGAAGCCGAGATAAACTAGTCCGCCGATAACGATTGGGGTGGGGGCCCCAACTCGTGGTAGGCCACTAGTTTATCGTAGGATACTCACGGATACCTCTCCTGAGTCCCTCTCGTGTGCCCTCGCGCACATCGCATGCGGTCTTCACTCAGCCTCCGCTGCTGTGAACACCAAACTTGCACTTCAGCTGGTGCGCGCTTTCGCCGCCTACTTTCGCGAGCGCGCTTGGCCCTCGCTCCTCATGCGCGGCGCTCTCGCTGCGCTCTCTCCCTGCTCATGGGACCTGATGCCGCGCCACCTCTGTGGCCGCTCCATCCTCTCTGACGGCGCCAGCCCTCCGGCTGCGCCATCTCTCTTTGGTTCCCACCCACCCTCTCCTTGGTGGCATGCTGAGCTCTCACGCTAGCTTGGGATCCACCGTGGCTCTCACGGAGATGTCAGCTCGAGCCTCTGCTCGCGTAATGGGTCCTGTCGTCGGCCCATCTTACTTCTCCCCCCCCTCTTTTCGCGGGGGAGACTCCCGCGTCGTCTACGCGGCGGTAGGTGCTCTACGTGTGGTGAGCTCCACCTCTCTTCTTGGTCTGAGGTGCGATCCGCTTACGGCGCCGCGGCCGGCTGCAGGACGTTGAGGTTTCCTCCGGACCTGCAGTTCGTCCAAGCTGTTTGAGTCCCAACCCTCCGCCTTTAGTGGCAAGACCCCAGGGGATGTCAGGTACTGCGTAGCTCTTCCGTTGTGGAGGCACGCGACTCCAGACTGACCCTTTACGCGCCAATGTATCACACCTCACGGTGCAGATGCTTGGGTCATGTGGAGAAGCCGAGATAAACTAGTGCGCACTTGTATCCCTCTCGCGCCGGATGGCCTCCCACCGCATCGGCGCGCGCGTCGCGGGCCTCTCGCCAGCGCAGCTGTGCGCCATCATCGAGGGGCAGGCGGGCGCGAGCGACGCCGCGCTGCGCGTGGCGGAGGAGCACGCCGCACGGCTCGTGGAGCAGCCCGAGTGGGTCCTCTCCGAGGTCCTCCTCTCGCCGGACCTCGCCCCGCACATCCTCGCCCAGCTGCCGACCAAGGAGCACGCCGCCAAGGGGACGTGCCGCGCGTGGCGCCGCGGCTGGAAGGAGACGCTGAAGAAGCGCGAGAGGCCGCGCCTGGTCGTGATCGGCGGCGAAGACAGCGATGGCGAGCGTCTCAACTCGCTGGAGCGGTACGACCCGTCCACGAATGCGTGGGAGGAGGAGGCTGTCGCGCCGATGCCGTCGGCACGAAATTTTGTCGGCACGGCGGTGCTCGATGGCAAGCTCTACGCGGTGGGCGGCGAGAGTGAGGCTGACGGCGCAACTTCCAACCTGGTGGAGCGGTACGATTTGGCTACGAACGCGTGGGAGGAGGCGGCGCCGATGGTGACACCACGCGAGACCCACGCCGCGGTGCTGGACGGCAATCTGTACGCTGTGGGCGGCCTCGGCGACGGCGCCCTCAGCTCGGTGGAGCGGTACGACCCGGCAGCGAACGCGTGGGAGGCGGTGGCGCCGATGGCGGAGGTGCGGTTTTATCACGCCGTAGCGGTGCTCGACGGCAAGCTGTACGCTGTGGGCGGGTACAGCGACGACGACGGCATCCTCAGCTCGGTCGAGCGGTACGATCCGGCGACGAACGCGTGGGAGGCGGTGGCGCCGATGGCAGAGGCGCGGACTCTTGCCGCCGTGGCGGTGCTCGACGGCAAGCTGTACGCTGCGGGCGGCTTGAACGACGAGGACGGCCGCCTCAGCTCGGTGGAGCGGTACGACCCTGCGATGAATGTGTGGGAGGCGGTGGCGCCGATGGCGGCGGCTCGGAGCAGGCTCGCCGTGGCGGTGCTGGACGGCAAGCTGTACGCTGTGGGCGGGCAGAACGATGAGGAGGACGTGGATGGCTGCCTGGTGGAGCGCTACGACCCGGCGTTGGAGATATGGGAGGCGGTGGCGACGATGGGGACGGCGCGGTACTCTCCTCTCGCTGCTTTGATGTAGGCGGCTGTTTCGCTCTCTCTCTCTCTCTCTCTCTCTCTCTCTCTCTCTCTCTCTCTCTCTCTCTCTCTCTCTCTCTCTCCCTCCCTCCCTCCCTCCCTCCCTCCCTCTCCCCCCCGGAGACGGGCGAGTTGCGGCGCACGCGCGCACGCGCTGCGCGTAGCCGTAGGCGGCACGTGGCGGCGCGTGGGCGGGTGGCCCACCCGGCCGTCGGTGAGTGAGCACCACCGGACGCGAGGGTCGGTACGTCGGCTCCTAATCCTAGTGATCTGTGATCTGTGAGGATCCGCCCGCAGGCGCATTTTGTATACCGAGGCGGTGCCCGGTGCCGAGCGCAGGCAGAGCCCACAGGTCGGACCTTAACGACGAGACAGCGCGTGCGTATATGAGCTCACTTAAGAGTTGATAAGTGTGCAGCGGTCTTCTTCGCAAAAAAAGAAAAAAATCGCCTTATCCCTCTCGCGCCGGATGGCCTCCCACCGCATCGGCGCGCGCGTCGCGGGCCTCTCGCCAGCGCAGCTGTGCGCCATCATCGAGGCGCAGGCGGGCGCGAGCGACGCCGCGCTGTGCGTGGCGGAGGAGCACGCCGCACGGCTCGTGGAGCAGCCCGAGTGGGTCCTCTCCGAGGTCCTCCTCTCGCCGGACCTCGCCCCGCACATCCTCGCCCAGCTGCCGACCACGGCGCACGCCGTCAAGGGGACGTGCCGCGCGTGGCGCCGCGGCTGGAAGGAGACGCTGAAGAAGCGCGAGAGGCCGCGCCTGCTCGTGATCGGCGGCGACAACGAGGGTGGGACTGTCAACTCGCTGGAGCGGTACGACCCGTCAACGAACGAGTGGGAGGAGGAGGCGGTGGCGCCTTTGCCGACGGCACGCACGATAGCAGGCATGGCGGTGCTCGATGGCAAGCTCTACGCGGCCGGCGGTTGTGAGGCCGACAACTACGCCCCTTCCAACTCGGTGGAGCGGTACGACTTTGCTGCGAACACGTGGGAGGCGGCGGCGCCGATGGCAAAGGCGCGGCATGCTCCCGCCGTCGCGGTGCTCGAGGGCAAGCTGTACGCGGTGGGAGGCGACAGCGACGACGACGGCATCCTCAGCTCGGTGGAGCGGTACGACCCGGCTGCCAATGCGTGGGAGGCGGTGGCGCCGATGACGACGGAGCGGAGCGACCATGGCGTGGCGGTGCTCGACGGCAAGCTGTACGCTGTTGGCGGGTACAGCAACGACGGCGTCGTCCTCAGCTCAGTCGAGGGGTACGACCCGGCCTTGGATGCGTGGGAGGCGGTGGCGCCGATGGCGACGGCGCTGTACAATCACGCCTTGGCAGTGCTGGACGGCAAGTTGTATGCTGTGGGCGGCGTCAACGGCCACCTCAGCTCGGTGGAGCGGTACGATCCGGCGACGAACGCGTGGGAGGCGGTGGCGCCGATGGGGACGGCGCGGATGGCTCACGCCGTGGCGGTGCTCGACGGCAAGTTGTACGCTGTGGGCGGCTACGGCCTCAGCTCGGTGGAGCGGTACGACCCGGCGACGAACGCGTGGGAGGCGGTGGCGCCGATGGCGGCGGCGCGTGTGAAGGCTTTCGCTGTCTTGATGTAGTCGCCGTTGTGTGCGTGCTAGCCCCACGGCGTGGAGTGTGCTGAAGTCCCTCGCCTGGGTGTGCTGCGCGTGCGTGGCTGCGTGCCCCCGCCGCTTGGTCGCAGCCCGCTCTATGCACTATGGTGTAACGTGTATGGAGTGAAGCACTTGAGGGGCCGCAGGGGTTTCTTTTTCCCGGCTTGCCCGTCCCTACCCGCTGCGCGGCCGCAGGGGTTTCCTTTTATTCTTTGTCTCTCCCAGGCCGCCCCCCGTCCCCCGAGCCCGACCACCCGCCGCACCGGCACTCTACCTCTACGTGTGGCGGCCGTGTGTCAGCCCCACACTTATCACAGTATATCCCTCTCTATGACTCTTTGTCTATCTCTCCGCAGATGAAAAGCCGGGCATGGGCCGGAACCGCGCCCCGTATGTGCCGCGCTGCCGCGCGCGCCTAGACGGCGGCGATGACTGCAGGGTCGACGCCCTTCGAGGCCAGGAATGCCTTCTTCTCGTCGCCCGGAGCCGCCGCGATGGATGGATCTTGCATGAAGGTGGCGGCCTGCACAGTAGGAAAGTGGTGGAGAGGCGCCGGCGGGCACGAGAGAGGGAACATGAGAAGGGGTGAGCAGAGGCGGCTGCGTGGGTCGGAACGGTGAATCGGAGGAGGCTCTGCCTGCTCCTTGGTCATCTCACTCGTGACCGCGGCAGGCGCGGGCGGCGCTGCCAACGACGGCGCCACCTCGGACGTGGCCTCGCTTTTCCAGGAAGGGTTCCACCCCGAGGCGAAAGCCACTCGGCCGCCGCCCGCCCCCGTCGCCCCGGACTTGTACTTTGGGATTGGGCCCGACTTCCACGAGGGCGCCCACTTGCGATTGCTCCCGCCGCCGTAGACGTCCTGACAGCGGGTCAGGAGCGGGTCAGATTTGGCGAGACGGTCAGAAGGAGCGGGTCAGATTTGGCGAGACGGTCAGAAGGAGCGGGTCATCAGATTTGGCGAGACAGTTGTTCGCGGTCGACGAGGGCTGACGAAGAGGTGATGACGTGCCTGCATGACGACGGGGAGCGGCGTCGAGCCGCGCGTCGCCAGCGGAGGGGCGAAGCCGAGCGCACAGATCGACAGCATTATCTCGCGTTCCGTTTGGAGAGTGCCGCAGAGGTGTCCACGCAAAAAAAGAAATTTCGCCTTTGGCCGTGCATGGGCTCCCCTCTCAGCGTGCTGGCAGCCCTCTGTAGCATCAGGTGCAAAGGAAAGAGTGGGCTGGATCGTCCCGTTTTTTTTTGGAGAGTGACGAGACAGAGCTCAGAGGATGAAGCGACAGGAGAGAGAACGACGAGAGTGGGATGCCCTCCGCCGTCGAGCCACGCCAGTACCGCCGCGTCGTCACCTCGTCTAGCCGCTGCTACGACCTTGGCAGGAGCAGCCCCGGCGGTTCTCTTGCTACATCCCGCGCGCTCGAGCACCAACGCGCAGGCGAGTAGCAACCGCACGTGCATAGGGCGCGCGAACGCGGTGGGGGCGTTTTCTTCTTCCGAGGCTATGTTATGTTTCATATTTTCGTTTCTTTCCCCCGTTTTCTGCGCAGGTGTGCGCCAGTCCACATCCGAAATAGAGGTCTCCCCGTCTTTCTAGCCTAGCGTTTGTGCCCCGTTTGTGCCGCGTCCCGTGCCCCCGAGTTCATCTTAAAAAAACAAGTGAGTTGCAAAATTCTTTTTCCTACTAGCAGCGCTCGCCGGCGCGGAAGGGACTTGAGCGGGCGGTCGTGTCTCGTGAGCCGGCACAATGTCCGACCACCGAGCCAGGTCGCTCGCCGCGGCGGTCGGCCTGCGCACATCCTTGCTAATTTCGACGCTCGCACTCACCGCCCACGCGCTCTTCCTCTACAGCGTTTTTCGCAGTTTTTGGTGCGTTTTTCCACGTGAGACTTTTTGCAACTAGAGTATAGAGCGTATAGTCCCACCACGAGGTGCCGCCACCACGCTCCCTGACCCTGCGGTTCGGTGGGGCGTCTGTTCTCAGTTCTGTTCGGCACCTCCCACCGACGAACTCGTCCATTACACGAGAGTAGCCTGTGGCTGAGCAGAGCTGAGCACACACCAAGGCTCGCTGATGACCACATGCGACATGCCACATAATTTACCTTCAGAGACCTCGACTATTCACCGCACCACCATGCGGACGAGAACAGAGGCGAAGCGGCGAGGAGGAGGAGGGCATGCCCGGCCTGCACCGCCAGCTAGCTGGCCTGCCGCCCCCACCACCCCGCCGCCGCGCAACCCCGCCATCCCGCCCCCGCTCAGCCGATGTGGAGGCAGTGGACCTGCGACACGTCCGCCAGCTCGGCGGCCTTGGAGAGGACGGCGGCCTCGACCTTGCGGTCGATGGCCATCACGTTGACGACGGCGCCCTGGGCGTCGCCGTGCGAGACCACGCACGCCTGAGGGTGGAGGGTGGAGGGTGGTGCCGGGTCGGAGTGGGGCGGTTGGGGGGTGATGGGGAGGGGTGTAGCGGTGGCGGGGCGCCTGGATGTTGATCTTGTTCTCCCCGAGCAGGCCCGAGACGCGCGAGAGCACGCCGGGCTTGTCGATCGACTTGTAGACGAGCATGTAGCCCTTTGGCTCGAACTCGAGCTTGTGGCCCTCGAACTCGACCACGCGCTGGCTCGAGCCGAACACCGTGCCTGACGGGCGGAGGGTGGGGTCGGGTACCGTGGGGTATGGGAGGGTGCCTGACGGGCGGGCGGGCTGACATCCGGAAGGCAGACATCCGGAGGGGGGCAGATATCCCCTCGAGCCGAGTCATCTCCCATCGCTGGCGGGGGCCGACCAACGCGCCGGCGAGGGCGTGGCTCCCCTTGGAGGGATCGGCTGTGATCTCGGGCCGATCGCGGCTAGTCCGGTGCCGGCGATGACGTGGCTGCCCTTGGGCGTGGTGACCGTCAGCTTGAGCAGCGAAGAGAAGACGCCGCCCTCCACCTCCTGCGTCGTCACCTTCATCTCCCGCTCGGCCGCGAAGGCAGGCGCCGAGATCAGGTTGATCGCCGCGCCCGTCTCGTCGCGCGCGCCGGACTGGTCGAAGAGGCCGACCTGAAAACAAGAGAAACGCGGGCGCACATCAACACGCGACAGCGGCGAAGGCGCGGCCGAACTGGTGCAAGAGGCGCGCACCAGCGCCGCGGCCGCGCACAGCTCGCCCGCCTTCTCCACCTTGCCCGACACCTGCACCTGCAGCGAGGTGACCGCCGCCTTGTTGACCTGCGCGAGCAGCTTGCCGAGGGACGTTGCAAGCGCCGTCCACGGCTTCAGCTCCGGCTTCTGCGAGAGGGTCAGGTTGGGCGCGTTGACGACGCCGACGACCGGCTGCTCGGCAAAGGCGGCGACGAGCGAGTTTGCGATCTCCTCGGCGACCTTGCCCTGCGCCTCGAGCGTCGAGGCGCCTGTCCACGCCGGGAGGACGCTGCCGTGAGGAGACGCAGCTCACAGCTCGCAGCCCTGCGCCTCGAGCGTGGACGCGCCGAGGTGCGGCGTCGCGACAAGCTTGGGGTGCTCAATCAGCGCCCACTCGTGCTCCGCCGGCGGCTCCGACTCGAACACGTCCACCGCGGCGCCGGCGACGTGGCCCGACTGCAGCGCGGCGAGCAGGTCCGCCTGAGGGACGTGTCGTGGACGTGTCGTGGACGTGTCCCGACTGCAGCGCGGCCAGGTCCTCCTTGTTGATGACGGCTGCATCTCAGCTGCATCTCAGCTGCATCTCAGCTGCATCTCAGCTGTGTCTCCGCCTCGTTGATGATGCCGCCGCGAGCGCAGTTGATGATGCGCACACCCGGCTTCATCGTCGCGATCGACGTCTTGTTGATCATGTCCTTTGTGTCGTCGAGCAGCGGCACGTGGACGGTGAGGAAGTCGGCGCGCGCCATGCAGTCGGCGGCGGAGACCGGCTCGATGTTGAGCTTGCGCGAGGCGTCGGGAGGGAAGAAGGGGTCGTACCCGATAACGTCCATCCCGTACGACTGCATGCGAGAGATCACCTGTGCAAGGCAAGGAGGCGGCCCCTCATCATCTGGTCGCCTGTGATGATGCCGTGTGACTGCGGGAGAGGAGAGGGAGAGGACGAGGGAGGGAGAGGAGGAGAGGAGGAGGAGCAGGAAGAGGTGGAGGAGGCAGAGGCGGAGGCAGAGGAGGTGGTGATGGAGAGGCGCAGAGGTGGACAGGAGGAGGAGAAGGAGGCGACGAAGAGAAGAGGAGAAGAGGACAGGAGAAGGAGGAGGAGGTCACCTCGCGGCCGACGCGGCCGAGGCCGAGCACGCCGAGCGTCTTGCCGGAGAGCTCGACGCCCATGTACTTCTTCCGGTCCCACTTGCGCGCCTTCATCGACGCGTCGCCCTGCGGGGGGGGAGGAGACGGCGGTGCGGTGGGAGGAGACGGCGGGAGGAGACGGCGGGAGGCGGGGTCTGCGAGAGGTCTGCGAGAGATCTCACCGCTCCTCCCTCACGGCAGCGCATGAGAAGAGTGCGAGGCTTGGCCGGTGTGCGCGGCGGGCAGCAGCAGCCAGTGCGGCAGTCAACAGAGCCGGCAGGTGTGCGGCAGATGTGAGGAGGTGGTCGGGCCATGTCGCCACGCCAAAGGCGAAAGGGGCGCGCGCGCGGTGGAGCGCTGTGAGGTGTGTGGCAGGCACAGGCGAGTCCTTTAGCTGCTCGCCTGCGCAACGTTGCGAGCGAGCGAGGCGATGAGGGCGCACCTGAGGGGGAGGAGAGGGCACGCGGGGTCGACGGCGCGGGTGCGGCGGCGCCACCTCGCTAGTTGCGGCTCGAGGCGGAGGCGATTCGAGGGGTGAAGAGTCGAGGGGAGGGGAGTCCTTTGGCCGGGGCAGGCGCGCGCGTGTGCTCAGCGGCGGAGACGGTGTTGCCGCCGGGCGTGTTCATGACGATGATGCCCTTCTTGGTGGCGGCGACGCAGTCGATGTTGTCGACGCCCGTCCCCGCCCGCCCGATCGCCGTCATCTTGTGCGCCGACTCGATGATCTCCGCCGTGACGGTGGTGCCTGAGCGGACGATCAGGCCGTCGTACTCGCCGATGATCTTCTTGAGCTCGGCGGGCGGGACCTTGGACTTGCAATCGACCACGACGCCCGCCTTTTGCAGGATGTCCACGCACACCTGCGCGCACGGAGGCGGCGGCACACTCACCGCGGTGTGCTCCACTCGCTGCTCTGTGCCGTCGCCGGCGGTGCGGCGCCTGCTCGATCGGGTCCGAGATGAGGACCTTCTTGCCCTTGGCGCTCGCGCCGCCCTGCGTGCGGGCCCGCTTCGGGCTCGTGACGTCCATAGCTCCGTTGGAGGACGGGTTCTTCGGCATGGGGTCTGCGAGCTCAGCTGTCTCCGTGTCGCAAGCACCGATGCGGGGTGATTAGGCAAGGGCACCCCGGAGCTGCCGAGAAGAAATTCTTGAGAGAGAGAGAGAGAGAGAGAGAGAGAGAGATTTCTTTTTTTTCGCCGAAACAGTGATGGTAGGTGTCTCTCTCGGAGCGCCTCCTTTGAGCCCGGCCGATGAAGGGTCCGATGGCACAAACGGGGTGTACGAGGCGATCGAGGATGAGCCAATTACCGGGGACAACACGAACAATGGGGTGGAGACAGGTCGTGGGGACCAGGCAACAAAATCAGCGCCTAAATACCAGTGGAGTTCAGCGAGGACTGCAGGAGAGGTGGAGTCAAAGGGGCGAGGAGGGTTGGCACAGGAGATTCATCAATGGGTTATGGATGGAGAGATGGAGACACAAAAAGGCTTTGAGCAGTGCAGCGGGCAGCGGGCAGCGGGCAGCGGGCAGCGGGCAGCGGGCTGCGGGCTGCGGGCTGCGGGCTGCGGGCTGCGGGCTGAGGGCAGTGAGGGGCGTGGGGCGTGGCGTGAGCGCGCGTGGAGGGATGAATTGACAGATGCAACAAACGGGGTTCGAACGAGGAGCCAGCTGGTGGTGGAGTGGTCAACCAACCAACTATGCCAGCCAGGGGCCTCTGCTGTTGGACGTAGACTTTCGGGCGTACATATCAGTAATAATCCGAGTGGAAGATCAAAATGGGAGTGGAGACAGATGGTGGAGACGAGGCGGAGATGGTTGATGGGCAGGCAGGTCCTTCTCAATACAATGGTAGTGGCACCGGTGCGTCAGTGGTGGTGGATGGAGTGTACGACTGGGGTTGCATAAGCAGGTGGGCACGGTGGAGAGGGGACGGTCACCTTATGGAAAGGTGGAGTGCACAGATGAGTGAGGAGGATAGGAGGAAGGCTAGAGGGCTCAGGTTCGAAAAGGAATATGGGCAGTTCAAGGACAGTCCAGCGAAGTTCATGGGGGAGACTGGGACGTTACAGGGACGGTACAGACAAACGATATGGGGCAGGAACGTGGTAAAAACGGATGAACTGGTTGCTATTGCCAGATATGTCAGACGGAGGAAGGCGGAGGGGATGGAGTGCGCTGCGGCGACAAAGAGGCTTGAGTACCTGGTGGAACAGAGGGGAGATGAGGGAAGAATGGTCGTTGAGAGGGTTGAGGAGGAGGGAGGGGGTCAAGTGGGTAAACGGGTGGATGGGTCGGGACCAGAGGCAGCTGGAAAAGAGCACACGACAGATGAGACGTCGGAAAATGCAGCGACAAAAGTGATGATACAGAAGATAGATGTGGAGTGTGCAAACGCAAATGGATTTCTGTTCGTGCCAAACCCTAATGCAGTACGACGTCACATGGCCACGAAAGGAGGGTCGCCGGCTGCATCCCGCTCGCGGCGGTCGCCACCATCCCTGGGTCACCGCCACTGCCCCTGTCCCTGCCGCCGCCGCCGCCGTCCGATTCCTCCCCGCCGCCCGGCCTGATCCGCGGCGTGCAACGCCCCCCACGCACAAACATGGGCACACACCTCGGCATCGCCGACCCCCCAGCCCCCTGCCGCCGCCGCCGCCGTCCCTGTCGCCCCCGCTTTCACCCACTTGCTTTACTGCCGACTCCAAGCGGGAGGCAGCAAAAGCACGCAGACAGAACCCCGAGAACGTCGCCATCGTGTAGCAGGCAGGCTTGGCTAGCCGCGTGTTGGGGTGTAGTGTTTGTGTGTGTGGTGTACTCTCCTCTACTCAGTGATAGTGAGTGAGCAGCGTACGATATAAAAACAACTGAAACACCTCGAAGCCCTGTGGGAGCCCTCCCCCTACTGTTCGCGTCGTGTTTTCTTTGGGCGGCATAGGCGAGCCGCCGGTGATCTGCCAAGCCCCTCCCGCCTCCGACTCGCGCTGTCTGTCGCCCCGCCTGATTCCCCTTCCCCGATTCCCAAGACTCTCTTTAAAATATGTTCTTTGAAAGAAAAAATATTAACGTGTTCCGGCGGCTAGGTCTATGCTGTTTTGGCGGGTACAGCGACAACGACGGCATCCTCGGGGCTCAGTGGAGCGGTAGGATCCCGCGACGAACGCGTGGCGGGGATGCGGTGGCGCCGATGGCGGCGGCGCGGACACAGAGAGTTTGGGATGGCGGGGAGCTCGACGGCAAGCTGTATGTATGTCGTGGGAGGCTGTAACGACAACGACGGCACCCTAAGCTCGATGGAGCGGCACGATCCGGCGGAGAACGCGTGGGAGGATGTGGCGCCGATGGCGGCGGCTCGCGCAAAACCTCGGACGGCTGCAGCAGCGCTCGATCAGCGCTCGATGGCAGTCTGTACGCGCTGTGGTCAACGACGACCCCGCGACGAATGTGTGGGAGGCGGCTGCGCCGTTGACCACCGCACGATCGTGCTGTTATGATTCTTGGTGCAATATTAGACACTAGCTGCATGCCAGCCTGATCGTCACATATGCACAAAGACGGCTCAATCCGGACGCAACACGCTGAATTGCGCCGGGAGGATGTATGAACCGCAGTCCAGCCGGGAAGATGTAGCATACGCTAGGCGGCGGCTGCCGCAGGTGCATTCCGATGTCGCACCTGGTAGCCGCGAAAGACTGACTGCACGCGGACTATCGCGGCCGCTGCCAAGCGCCTGTGCCGCACCCGCTGCAGCCAGCGCTGCGCCGCTAGCTGCACACGCTGGCTGCCACAGGCGTCGTGCTCCTCAGAGAGCTCGTCGTGCTCAAGGGAGAGGGGCGCCAGCTGCCCGCGCATGGGCCCGCTGACGGCGGCGAGCCCACCACTCAGTCGCTTCAGCTGGCAAAAAAAGATTTTTGTGAGATGTGCATGCACCCTCCGGGGGTGTGTGCACGCTGGACGAAACGGTGGCGGGGCCGCGGCTGAAAAAGGCGAGGAGGGGAGGTCGGGCCCCGCGCCCGTCGGATGACCGCCGGAAAGCGAACAAAAGAAAGGACGCAGGGGGAAGGGGAGCTCCCTCCGGAGTGGGGATGGGGACCCCGCGCGAAGGGGCCCGGAGCGGTGACGTCGTGTGAGAGTGCGTGTCGTGTTCATGTCTGGTGTCCATTATAGCTCCGAGTAGAGGGGGCGGTCTGCTGCTAGGGGGAACCCGGAGCGCGGAGCCAACCCTCGGAGACCCGTGTTTACTTTAAGGCCCTTGCCCTGCGAACGCGCACCCCCCCCTAGGGGTCAGGGCTCTCCTGCCCGTAGCCCGATGCCGATCATCCGGCTCGCTGGGTGCGCTCCTCAGCTCCCCGGCCCTGGATGTGAGGTTGTGGAGGTGGTTTAAAAAAAGCAAGGCCCCCGCCGCACCGCCGCTTTTCGAGCTCGAAGCACCCGCCGGGGCCGGCGAGACCGCCGCCTTTTCGAGCTCGCCACGTGGAGTTGGTCCGCTGCCGCGCAGGTGGCGGGCAGAGGGCGGCGGGAGCAAAGGCGCCCACTTTTGACCAGGGCGATCGCCGAGCCAACATGCCTCCGGTGAAGCCCCTTGTCGCGCGCCCCCCCCTGTCGTTCGTCGAGGCGAAGCGGCAGGAATTCCGGAAGGGCCAAGCGCCGGCGGCCGACCCCATCGACCCTTTCTTCATGGACGCGCCTTTCAGCAAAATCGGAACCGGGCATGAAGACAGCACTCGCGGGCAGGTTTGCGCCGTAAAGGTCAACCTCTGCAACCTTCTCTCCTGCGGACTCTGGAAGGCCGCATGGGGCTGCAACGACATCAGTAAGACGGCGTACCTTGAGCCCATCCCACATTCCAGCTCGATCGCTCCATCCGACTACCTGTCTCACGTCACGACGGATCGCGCCGACGCGTGGCGAAACTACCTCGCCGGAATCTACGGCAGCGAGCAAGTGGCGGCCTTCCCGCCGTCGGATGACCACATCCGCTTTCTGTGGAACACTGGAGACTTCACCAGGCGGTCCGACACCGGCTGCGCTGGAGGCGCAGTTTGCACCCGCGGTGCAGCAGTTTTTGCCGACGCCTGCGTCGCCGGCGGCCGTGCAGCGGCTGCTTGCGTCGCAGATGCGTTGGGAGGAGGCGCCTCGGGAGACGGCCCGACGAGGTCACTGCCCGATCTGCCTCGAGGCACTGTCCGATGCGGTGCTGCAAATGCCGTGCTCGCACCTCTTTCACCTCGAGTGCCTGACGCAGTGGCTGGGCACGCGCAACTCGTGCCCGGTGTGCCGCCACCTGCTGCCGACGGAGGACGAGCCGATGGCATGAGTGGGGCGGGTTCGGCGTGTGTGTCCTGCTGGCTCAGAACAAAAGCATCGAATTTCGTTTTGATGGTTCTTTTGTTGGAACTCGCTTTAGTTAGTTCCAGAGCGGTTAAGGTGAAACACAGTGAGAGGAGACCGGCGTGCAAAGGCGCTCAGATTCTTTTTCCGAAAGAAAAAGAAAATTCAGGCGTGCGGAGTCAGACTGTGTGTTCTCGCGCTGTCACTGTCGATCTCAGTCTCTGCCGATCTCTGCGAGCCTCAATGCGCGATCAGTGCATCGTCCTCGCCCTGTCGACGCTCTGCGCCGCCGCGGTGTTCGATTTCGAGGCCGACGGAGGCGCTGAGGCCGGCGACGACACTTGGGACACTGTCATCTCCAACGGTGCAAAGCTCAACAGCTCGCTGTCAAAGCTGCGCGAGGGTGATGTCTTTGTCGTGCCCACTAAGACGTTTCACCTCATGGGCGGCATTCACGCGCGCAACCTGCACGGCGTCACCATCTCCATCGACGGCACGCTCTCATTTGCCTCAACGGCGCTGAATTCCGGCCGCTATATGAAGGCGTGGCCACGCGGCAGTGACGGAGGGGTGTTGGATTGCCTGACCTTCTCAAACCTCTCCCGCGTGAGATTCACGAGCGCAAGCCGCGGTGAGCTCGACGGCGGCGGTGCAAAGTGGTGGGGCCTTCCTGGCACCATCTCCAGATGCTGAGAAACAAACTGCGTATAAATCCGACCCTAGCACTCGAGACGACATGCAACGCCCGTATTCACGTCCTGACTCTGCCTATTATGGCGTAGGCATTGGCTACCTGCGCAGGTGGACGACCAGACCCGCGGCAGCTGTGAAGAGACGCCGTTCACACGCGCGGAGCTGCTGTGAGCAGGCAGGAGGATAGGCCGCGGCTGCTCACCGTGCTGGAGTCGGACGACATTCTGGTGGAGCGGCTGCACTTCCGCCAGTCGCCCTACTGGACCTTCCTCGCTAGCGGCGTGACGAACCTCGAGGTGCGGTACTCGCGCGTCGACAACCGACGGACGCACGCCGACCGTCATGATTTGCTCGACTTGACCGCCTTCAACACTGACGGGTTCGACCTCGCTCATTGCGACACCGTCTGGATCCATCACTGCGAGGCGACCACATGGATGATGCGCCCTGAGAGAACTGGAGGCGCGGAGGCGCTGCTTTGACACCTGCGTGGCTTGGGCAGGTGTGGAACCAGGACGACTGCTTCGACGTCAAGGACGGCACCAACAACGTCCTCATCGAGCACGTCAACGCAAGCGGCATGCGCCTCGCCGTCGCACCAATGTGCAGCTGCCACTGACTCTATCAACTTCACAGCCGCATGTGGTCATCAGGCTTTGGCCTCACCATTGGCTCCATCGCCTCCGACGTGCGCTCTTCCCGGCGACCATTCGCGGACTCTTCCATGCACCATCCCGACGGTTCAGGTCGTGTCTGAGCAGGTCCGCAATATCACCTTTCGGCACGCGCGCATGGTTCGCACGGTCAAGGGCATCTACATGAAGTTCCGCGGCGCCGGCTCGGTCCGCGACGTCCTCTACGAGGACCGCAGTCGAGGCGGCCGCCTGCTCTCGCAGCATGGGCGTGAGTCGCACCGGGCGGCGGAGTGCGAATAGGACGATGACGACCGCGGCGCGGCCGCTTGTCCTCACTGTGGGGGTCCCTCACCGCGACCTCCGCTCGTGAGTAGGACATCGTGATTGAGGAGCCGCAGCAGTTCGCCATCTGGATCGGGCCGGCGCAGAAACCGGCCCCGGGACGGAGGGGCCGCGTCCGCGACACGTCCATGACACGTCCGTGGCACGTCCCGCAGGCGCAGCAGTGCGACGGATGCAGCTTGACAGACCTCTGCTCGACGGACGGCGGCCCTTGCTCCATCTGCTGGCCGACTGTGCCGGGCACGCGCGCACTGCCACCGCTCACCCACGCTCAGGGCCTTGCACGTTGCATGCCGTGGGGCTCTATCTTGTTCGGATGTGGAGGTGCGAGGGTCGCCCGGCCCGCGCCCCACCACCTCGCCGGACACCAACTAGGCACGCACTGCCACGCGCCGGCGGGCGGGCAGTACTCCAACATCACGCTGCGCGACATCACCGTCCTCCGCCCGAAGCAGAGCGCCGGGGTTGCGGGCGCTCTGCAGTCCGTGAGCTGTGAACGGCGTCTCTTCACAGGTTTGGGTGTGAGCAGGTGCTGCTGGCGGATGAGGCGGCGGCGATGCGGGGCGTGCGCTTCGACAACGTCGTCGTCCACGAGCCGGCGGCGAGGCCGTTTGGGGACGAGCAGTACTACTGCAGGCATGTGCACGGCGTGGCGACCGGTGCGACCAGCCCGGTGCCTCCGTGCTTCGAGGACCGCACCGGTGCCGTAAATAAATAAATAAATAAAACGGACACCTCTACTAGGAGATGGGTAAAAAGGAACAGGTCCCCGCCCTGCGGTCTTTGTGCAGGGTGCCGTGTCAGCACGGGCCGAGGCGAGTGCCATTTCACTGTGGCACAGCTCGCGTTACAAAACCTTGGTTTGACCATTTGCGCAAAAAGGTACATGTCGGTGCCTTCCGGAGGCAGCTGCGACCCCGCCGAGTAGACGGTTGCACACAGCAGGTGGCGCGGTGTGCAACCGTCCACTCGGCGGGGTCGCAGCTGCCTCTGCGCGTCCTGGGTATGTACCTTTGTCGCGCGCCGGAGACGACTCGACGCCGCTGAGATCGGAGATCAAGCTCTGACAGGTCGCACGTCGCTCCTTTGACGCCGACGTGACTCACCCGTGCAGATCACATCAGGACACGGTCTCGACACGCTCGGTACGACGCCTGCGACCCGTCTTGGGTCAGGTGGCACGACGCTCATCGCGCCTACCAGCGCTGCCGTGCAGGTTGCCACGACGAGGTCGAGCACGCTTCTATACGCTCGCCCAGCCTTCCTTTCCATCCCATTAGGCAGCCTGGGAACGGTGGCGGTCAGAGGCAAAGCCTGCGAGGGGTGGTGGAACCACATGTCACGGCTACCGCCGGCTCGACCCCACGATAGCCTCCGGAGGCTGACTTTGAGGCACAATCATCGGACGACGTCGGCGAGTTGAGTCGCGCTCGCGGTAGCCAGATGACCTCTCATACTAGTATCATCGGCCATGGCCGCAGGAAGCGCGGGGGATTCCGCTGGGAGCAACACGGAGCTCCGTTGGACGCGTTTTCAAGATTAGCGTATGTCAGAGTGAATTGGAACTAGCCCGAGCGTTTTTATGCGAGCTTTATTCAGAGTCAAGCGATTGCGCGAAATCCCACACGGGTGGATTTTGGCATTTGGGGCGCTGTCTACACTTCTGTTTCCCCCTGACATGCAGTATGCGAGAGCATGAATTGTGCTGTGCGTGTGTGTCTGTCTGTGTGTGCGACGCGTCCGAGAGATCGTGGTTCGTGCAAGAAAACACGCACACAATCAAAGAAGGTATAAGCATCTCTGGGCACCCTGCCACGCGCATGCCTCCCGCTCAGCGTCGGTCGGCGTCCCTCCGGTCCGAGTAGTAATCGCGGGGGCGGTCGTAGTACTCTCGCCTGCAGGCGCAATCATCTCACGGTCTCAGCAGCCGCTGCATCCCGCCTCTCCGCCGCACCGCCGCCCTCTGTGCGCCTGTCGGCCTCTCGTCAAGACGCCCAACGGCGCCCCCCGTCTCCATCTCCAACTCTCATCTCCCATCTCTCATCTCCCGTCTCTCATCTCTCGCACCGGTCGTATGGCCGCCGGCCGTGGTAGTCTCGCGGCAGACGACCCTCATACGACCGCTCGCCGTATCGCTCGCCGCATCCCTCCCTGTCGCGGTAGTCGCGGCCGCGGTAGTGGTAGTCGCCTCCGCCCCGCCCGTTGCGGCCTCGCCCCCTGGGTGTCAAGAGAGGCGCCGCTCGCTGCGCGGGCGCTGTTCTGCGCTGTTCCGCGCCGCTGTTCGGCCCATCTCGCGGCGCATCTCGCAGCGCATCTCGCGGCGCATCTCGCAGCGCATCTCGCGGCGTGGTATCTTGGCGCATCATCTCGCGGCGTGGTATCTTGGCGCATCTCGCCTGTCCGAGTAGGCGACGCGGTCGGAGTGCCGCTCGTCGCGCCTGTTCACGGCACGAGTGTGAACAGCGCCTGCAAGGCGGGAGGGCGGTAAAGCTGCATCCTCCCGCCCCGCCTCCCGCGCGAGAGGGAGCGAAACCTCCTCTCGTCGCGCCGCTCCTCGCGCCTCGCCCAGGAGCGAGAGCGAGAGCGAGAGCGAGGGGGAGAGCGAGAGCGAGAGCGAGAGCGAGAGCGAGGGGGGGAGCGGGAGCGGGGGGGGGAGCGGGAGCGGGAGAGAGAGCGAGAGTAGCGGCGGCGAGAGCGAGAGCGAGAATGGCGGTCGGCGGTGCGCCCATCCTCGCCGCCCTCGCCTCCTCCACCCCCCTCACCACCCCTCTCGCCACCCCTCTCGCCACCCCTCTCGCCACCCCCCTGGCCGCCGCCGCCGCCCTCGCCGCCGCCGCCGCCGCCGCCGCCGCCGCCGCCGCTTGACGTGTCGCCCTGCAGCAGCTGCTGCGCCGCGGAGCCGTGCATCGCACTTCCGAGCCTAACCTCGGGTGATCTCGGGTGATCTCGGGTGATCTCGCGGCGGACCCGCGCGTCGCACGCCCGCGCCGGGCGAGGCTCTCGAGGTAGCCGCCCATCGCCGGCGCGGGCATCGTGCTCGGCGCCTGATGGGGATGCATTGACTAGCCTCTGCTTAGAGGACCCACATCGCCGGGTGTGGGCAGCGTGGGCCTGCACCTTGCCCTGCCGTATCCGGTCGGCGACCACATCCGGGTGGGCTGGCGGCAGGTGGCGGTAGCGGCACGTCTCGCCTGATCACTTCTTGGCGCACGCGTCAGACTTGATGGCTCATGAGGCGGGGGGTGCTCCTGGCACGCGTCTCGCCGCGCTGCAGCCGCGCGCACGCGCCGCGATTGATGAAGTCAAAGCAGAGCTGGTGGCCTGGCGGTTGATCCACTCTTCCAGTGAAGGAACTAGTGCACGAAAGCCGCGGCCTGGTGGAGTCAAAGCAGAGCTGGTCGCCTGCTCAAGACCGCTGTCTGTGGTCTCCCCGAGGCTGCGGGTGCGGACTGAAGCCGAAGCACAAGGTGGGTAGGCCTGGCCCGGGGTCAGCGAGGGTCGTGGCCGCCGCTGTCGCCGCCTCGGCGGCTGCAGTTGCGGCGAGGAGAGGGGCGGAGGACGCCGTCAGCGCCGCCTGTGGGAGAGGGTTCCGAGAAGGTTCGCGGAGCGGGCTCGGTCAGCCGTCAGCCACGTGGGAGGGGAGAGAGGCGGGAGGGAGCGGGAAGCAGCGCCGCCTGGATCTGCGCCGAGCCTCCTCCTCCTCCTCCTCCTCCTCCCCCCGCCTGCGCCTGGGCGAGCAGTTGCGCTGCGGCAGCCGGGTTGAGCTTGCCTTGCCTGTGGAGCTCACGGCGAGATTCGGCCGAGATGAAGAGATGCAGCAAGGTGGAGCTCACCCTGCCGGATCCGGTCGGCGAGCACGTCGGGTAATCTCGGGTAATCTCGGGTAATCTCGGGTAATCTCGCCGGATCCGGTCGGCGATGACGTCGGGGTGGGTGCGGCTCAGGTGGCGATACCTAATTGGTCAGTCCATTGGATTAGTTAGACTCATCGAATCTGAGTGAACCTTGCCTCGGCTGCTCTCGGCTGCTCTCGGCTGCTCTCTGCTACGCTCGGCTACGCTCGGCTACGCTCGGCTACGCTCGGCTACGCACTTGGCTACGCTCGGCTACGCTCGGCTACTCTCGGCTACTCTCGGCTACTCTCGGCTACGCTCGGCACTTGCAGGCACCGCCGGTGCGGAGGCGCGTGCAGGAGCCGTTGTTGATGTAGTCGAAGCAGAGGCTCGCACCGGCGCCCGGGTCGAGAAGCAGCTCCTGTGAAGGATATGGTTGGTGTGACGAGGAGAAATAAGGATCGGCCCGGCTCCAGCAGCAGCTCCTATCCAATTCGAAACGTCTTGAAGGGACGACAGAGAATGCTTCGGCCCGGCTCCAGCAGCAACTCCTATCCAATTCGAAGCGTAGTGGAGGTAATGAGTCGGGCCCACGGAGTCCTCGGCCCGGCTCGAGCTGCTATCTCCTCCGCCCCGGGCGGCGACGCGAGCCTGTTCACAGCGGGACCGCCGTGAAGAGACGCCGTTCACGGCTCCGTGCCGGCTGTCCCGGCGCAAAGCCGCGTGTGCGTGATCTGGACGCTCGTGGCAGCAGCAGCAGCAGCGGCGGCGGCGGCGGCGGCAGCGCCTCCGCCGCCGCCGCTCAGAGTAGCTGTGAAGGACGCGGCGGCGGCGGTGGCGAGGGCAAGCACGCTCTGCTCGCCGCCTATGCCGAGCGAAGAACAGTTTAGTATGAACTCGTTCTTGACACGAGCACGCTCAGCTGCTCGCCGCCTATGGATCATCAGTCATCATCATTGTTGTTGTCTGTTGTTGATGAGAGCACGATCTGCCGCTCGCCGCCTCCGCCCGGCGCGGCGAGCGCGGAGGCGGGGAGCTTCCCTTGCCGCACCCGGTCCGCAATCACGTCCGGGTGGGAGGCGTCGAGGTGGCGGTACCGGCAGATCTCGCCTAGCCGAGACGGAGGGAAGGTTCCGAGAAGGTTCCAGGCTCCGGAAGGTTCCGAAGGTTATGAGAAGGTTCCGGGAAGGCTCGTGGGCGGATCAAGCGGATGACTCGCACTCCTCTGCGAGTGAGGCTGTAAGCCGGCCAGTGGACACCCATGGGACTGTGACTGCCCTGCTCGCTGTGAGCGCCCTGCGGAAGAGCGCGCAAGGGCGTGGGTCTCGCCTCGCTGCAGGCGGCCGCAGACGCCGGTGTTGATGTACTCGAAGCAGATTGGGTCCGACGACGTGGCGGCGTACGGCATGGGCCCTCCGCCGCTGCTCTTGATGACCGTGATGCCCGCGTCACCGGACGAGCGCGTGGCCGCCGCCGCCGCCGCCGCCGCCGCCTGAGGAGGGCAGAGAGAGGACAGCGTTGGCGGCGCTTTGCGAGACACCGTCGAGAGGACGAGCGCATTTGGAGGCGGTGGAGTAAGAGGAGGGCGGCGGGCAGTAGCACGCAGCGGGAGCGGGCCTTTGCGATGGCGGACGGCGGCATCCACAGCTCCACTTCGGTGTCGAAAATGTAGTGCTCGGGTATGCCGGGCGGGCGCGGCGGCTGGCCCGAGGCGGCAGCCTGGTCGAACGTGCCATCCTGCACGCCGGCCGACTTGAAGTTGAGCATGGAGCAGAGACAGGGTGGGTAGATGAGCAGGAGGAGCGCGGCACGCCCGAGGCAGCGAGCGAGAGCGTGCGGAGCAGGCGCGCCAGCTGGCGTACGCTCGGAAAAAAGAAAGTTGCGCGGGGGCAGTTAGTAATTCTTTTCTTTGCCGGAACTTACTGCATAGGAACAACGCGGCATGTTCACAACACACACTGGACAGCTAGAGTGTGGTGCCATCATTTAGTAGTAAGCAACTCCATCTCCACGTCCATGATAGTGCGTGTGTGTGTGAGGCCTGTTGTGATGATGATTGTCCCTGAGGATCTCGACGCATTCCGCTTAGAGCGGCCGCACACTGCTCAGTGCTCGCGGCATCCCCCCCAGCTCATCCACCCCCTCCCCCCCCCCCCCCCCCCAGGAGCGCTCTGCGCCTGAATCAGTTACTGTGCACTGTGGGGGGTTCCGGAAATATACAACTCGCTTACATGCACATGTGCATGTGCATGTGCATGCACATGTGCATGTGCATGTGCATGTGCATGTGCATGTGATGTGCATGTTGTTACGAGAAAAAGCACAAAAGAAAAACGCGGGTGTGCGGGATGTCTGTGGGCCCGAGAGCGATGTGCCATGTCCGCCTTGCTTTGTTTCATTTAACATCGAAGGCTAGCTCAAAGAAAAAGGTTCTGCACGTGTGCATGTTGTTACTGAGACAGTATCACCCACGGGCCACCGACGCGCACATATCACAATTGAAAAGCCGCGCACATCAATCATCCGCACCGCTCACATTCACCACACACCCAGCCTCGCGCACGCACAATTTGGTGTACACACAGCACACACAGCACACACAGCACACACAGCACACACAGCAAGAGCGTACAGCTGCCGCCGCCCGCTCAGGCGACGAGGGGGTCGGAGGCCGGGCCCCGCTTGCCTTGCAGCCAGCTGTTCTCGCGGGCAAACCAGCTGCGGTAGCTGTCCTCCCCGGTGCCCTCCTTCGTCTCTGCGCGCGCCTCGAGGTCGGCAAAGGCGGTGGAGGACGCGGGGACCGGCTTCTCGTGCGCGAGGGCCAGCGAGAGAGCCTCGAGGTCCTCGGCGGAGCACTCTGCGAGGGCCTTTGAGGCTTTCTCGACGCCGCCGCACGCCTACATGACACGGGTAGCTTGTATGATGTGCACGAGGCCCGCCACGCCCAGTGGCGAATGGCGAGGCGAATAGGAGTGTATTGTGCTACGGAATGCACACGCGCCGGATCGGGCCTCAACTCGACACGGCCGTCCATCTTGCGAGGCGACGGCGGGATCGACGACGCCGGGGAGAGGCTGATCACGACGCGATTGCCGGCGGCGGGCAGAAGGTCGAGCCTCTGCCGCTCGTTATTCGACATGCGGCGGTCGACGGTCCTGCGCCGGGGTGCAAAACGCGCTTAGTGGATGCACAGGCGGAAGCGCCACTACGAACAGGCGGCGAAATGCAGCGCCGAAGCTTGGCCCGTGGCCGGGCGGCGATAT